ATCCGTGCATCCCCTTCCACACACAGTGGTTCTTCCTCTATCTCTTCACACACAGTGTCTTCCCTTCCACACACAGTGGTTCTTCTTCTATCTCCTCACACACAGTATCGCCGCTATCTCTTCACACGCAGTGACTTCCCTTCCACACACAGTGGTTCTTCTTCTATCTATTCACACACAGTATCCTGTCTGTCTATTCACACACAGTGACTCTATCTATCTATTCACACACAGTGACTCTATCTATCTCCGCTAACGCTAACTCTCCCTATCGCTATTTACTGTCCTTGGGGTTCGGCTCTCTATCTATTCTTCCCTAACATTGCCAGCTGTCCTCTTCACATCTCTCCACCTCTCGCCAACAACTGCCCAGCAACAACTCCCTCTCCGTTCAAATCACCTCGCGTTTTATCCCCTTTCGCATTAGCCCTAATTAATTGCCACGTGGCTCGCTGGCCGTTTTCCGCCAGCTCGCACCTGTCCCATCCATCAGACATCGAGACGCCACCACTTAACACTAACAGCCTCTCGACCAATCACAGCCCTCGTGCCACGACTCCCTTAATTACTTCGGGTTGTTTACGCCACCCGTGACTCGACCACCTGTTCGACCTCATGTGACCCGTTCTCCTTGTCTGTCTGTATGTACTGTATGTGGCCAATTCCTATGCGTATTGTTTACTCCACTACACATTCATTGATAAGAGGTTTTTTGGGTTAGATCGCGTAAATATTAAAATGCGTCGGTAAAGCCTGCCACCACCCAACAGCCAACTAGTAGGGGTTGTCACATAAACAGAGCGTGCGAATTCGTCACTAGTACAGCGCACCAGTATGTTCATCTGAGTACTCAGATTCTAAATGTTGTGGCTTGGCTCTCCAACACACTGGTGCACTGTACTAGTCACGAATTGGCCACGTTCTGTTTACGTTCCAACACTTACTAGTTGGCTGTGTCGAGTGGTGGCGGGTTTTAACGACACAACATTTATATACAGTGAGGGAAAAAAGTATTTGATCCCCTGCTGATTTTGTACGTTCGCCAACTAACAAAGAAATGATCAGTCTATAATTTTAATGGTAGGTTTATTTGAACAGTGAGAGACAGAATAACAACATAAAAAGCCAGAAAAACGCATGTCAAAAATGTTATAAATTTATTTGCATTTTAATTAGGGAAATAAGTATTTGACCCCTCTGCAAAACATGACTTAGTACTTGGTGGCAAAACCCTTGTTGGCAATCACAGAGGTCAGACGTTTCTTGTAGTTGGCCACCAAGTTTGCACACATCTCAGGAGGGATTTTGTCCCACTCCTCTTTGCAGATCTTCTCCAAGTCATTAAGGTTTCGAGGCTGACGTTTGGCAATTCGAACCTTCAGCTCCCTCCACAGATTTTCTATGGGATTAAGGTCTGGAGACTGGCTAGGCCACTCCAGGACCTTAATGTGCTTCTTCTTGAGCCACTCCTTTGCTGCCTTGGCCGTGTGTTTTGGGTCATTGTCATGCTGGAATACCCATCCACGACCCATTTTCAATGCCCTGGCTGAGGGAAGGAGGTTCTCACCCAGGATTTGACGGTACATGGCCCCGTCCATCGTCCCTTTGATGCAGGGAAGTTGCCCTGTCCCCTTAGCAGAAAAACACCCCCAAAGCATGTTTCCACCTCCATGTTTGACGGTGGGGATGGTGTTCTTGGGGTCATAGGCAGCATTCCTCCTCCTCCAAACACGACGAGTTGAGTTGATGCCAAAGAGCTCCATTTTGGTCTCATCTGACCACAACACTTTCACCCAGTTGTCCTCTGAATCATTCAGATGTTCATTGGCAAACTTCAGACGGGCATGTATATGTGCTTTCTTGAGCAGGGGGACCTTGCGGACGCTGCAGGATTTCAGTCCTTCACGGCGTAGTGTGTTACCAATTGTTTTCTTGGTGACTATGATCCCAGCTGCCTTGAGATCATTGACAAGATCCTCCCATGTAGTTCTGGGCTGATTCCTCACCGTGCTCATGATCATTGCAACTCCACGAGGTGAGATCTTGCATGGAGCCCCAGGCCGAGGGAGATTGACAGTTTTTGTGTTTCTTCCATTTGCGAATAATCGCACCAACTTCTCACCAAGCTGCCTGGCAATGGTCTTGTATCCCATTCCAGCCTTGTGTAGGTCTACAATCTTATCCCTGACATCCTTGGAGAGCTCTTTGGTCTTGGCCATGGTGGAGAGTTTAGAATCTGATTGATTGATTGCTTCTCTGGACAGGTGTCTTTTATACAGGTAACAAGCTGAAAGCTGCAATTAGGAGCACTCCCTTTAAGAGTGTGCTCCTAATCTCAGCTCGTTACCTGTATAAAAGACACCTGGGAGCCAGAAATCTTTCTGATTGAGAGGGGGTCAAATACTTATTTCCCTCATTAAAATGAAAATCAATTTATACAATTTTTGACATGCGTTTTTCAGGATTTTTTTGTTGCTATTCTGTCTCTCACTGTTCACATAAACCTACCATTAAAATTATAGACTGATCATTTCTTTGTCAGTGGGCAAACGTACAAAATCAGCAGGGGGTCAAATACTTTTTTCCCTCACTGTATTTAAGCGATCTAACCCAAAAAACCTCTATTATGGATGACATTGGTAGCAAAAGCCTACGTGTTAAACATACATACATTGAGTGGAGTGGACACTACCTCGTTTTTCGGATGGGATTTACACACTTGAAATCGAATACGGTGTATTAACAATATATAAACGATTTCCAAAAAGGCCAAAGTGAAGCTATAAGGCGTGCGATTAGACACTTCACAGGTGGTCTACGTGAAGGCAGCCCGAACACTGTTGTCATAACATTCATTGTATTTTCTGAGTTGAACTATAATTTTGTAACAACAAAAAAAGGTGGAGCAGCACAAACCATTAAACAATCTGTAAAGTATGTTCACGCAACAGTCTTAGCCTGAAGAGATGGGTGTGTAATCCAGTAATGGAACAATGACCCAGTGATTCATAAACCTGTTGCTGAATGTTAGCTCTTGCACAGTATGACGGATTAACATTTTTCTGTCACGTGTCAATTCTGCATTATTGAACCCTGAATGTCACGCACCAAATTAAAGTATAAAGAGGGTGGGGTGGGGAGGGGTATTGGGGTCTCTATTTTCTGCACATATCTGCAAAAATAACTCCTGCCATCCACAAGACTACACACGGACAAATGTGGATAATAGGATGAATCTATCACCACTTCCAGATCATTACTCTTACCTACGCCAAAAGGAAACATTTATTGAGTGTTAGCACTCTTTCGGCGATCATTCACGACCAGGTGCCTTGCCCATGGATAAAATACAGAAAACAGTTCACATATTCCACGACTTCTGAGTAAATTAGATTCATTTAGCACTTCTGTCAGACGTATCCACGGGTAAACGTGGCTAACAGGAATAATCAATCCAGTTGCGGGTAATAGGGATGCAGGGGAGGCCAAACTCCCGGACCCGATGAGCCACGTACCGACAACCTCCATGTGGACGAGAGCCACAGGACACCGAGGGGGTTGATCACGTGGGATGATCACGTGGGATGATCACGCAACCGGTTCACTCGCATTTGTTACATGTGCAATTTTTTTTATTGTACGTGGACTAATCATGCCTGGATTTGTTGTCAAGTGTCAGTGTCCTTGTAGTGCCCTAACTTCCTCGGATTTTCTTGTTTAAAATAAAGTTGCATTAAAATGTAAAGAAAATGCCAAGTATCTATGCAGCCGCTCTTGAACTGCACAGGAGCCATGGTTTGGCCACCCCTGGTATACTGGATTAATCGTGGGATCTCCCTAACCAGTATCAAATTATAAGAATATATTTGACCCTTTCTGGCTATAAAACAGTTGTGTTAAGATGTTAAAACACCAAACTGAAACCTTTGCAAGGAACCATGTCTGCATTAACTACATATACTTGTGGTGAACATGCAAACAAAAACAACATGCTCTGATGATATGTGCATTGTCTTTGAAACTAATTGGTCCACACCAGAGACATCTTTCTTTAGAGCCTCGTCTCAAACGGTGTTAGACCAGAGGAAGCCAAAAGGCGTACCGCACAAAGAAAATGCCACTATCAGGACATTGAGAGCTCGGGGCGAGCAGCTACATCATGGGAGACCTCCCTTGCCAGTATCAAAATATAAGACTAGGTTTTACCCTTTATGGCAATAAAACAGGTGGTGTTAAGATGTTAAAACAACAAACTGAAACATTTTGCAAGGAATAATGTCTGCATTTACCACATATACTTGTGGTGAACATGCAAACTAAAACATGCTCTGATCATATATGCATTGTCTTTGAAACTGATTGGTCCACACCAGAGACACCTTTCTTTACCATAGTTAAAGTAGTTCTCACAACAGTAACATTATGGTGATGAATGCATACTGTATATGCACACGTGCATACATTGTGGAAATAGCCATTGTGAGGCAGACACCACATAGAGGGGTTGATTGGTCTTCCTTTAAATGTTGTGACACTTTGTGTATTTTTTTTAGAAATTATGTCAATGCAGACACAAATGTTTGGTGGGGAATGTAACTTGCTCACAGTGTCACACATCGCAAAAATCATAATGCCGTACGAACACGTAAAATCTAATACCAATGAATATATATGTTGTATGAATGGTAGTAAATTAAACGGTGCTTAAGCATGGCAGAGTGAATGATTAAATAATTTGACGGACATACTATGGATATATTTGTAAGACTAAAATCCTTGTGATAAAATGCTTGCCAAACTTTGCCACTCGCTGTAAAATAAAATAAAAAACTTCAGACTTTAATCACTTATCATTTAAGTGTATCTGTAATGACATATGCAATGAAATGTCATCGGCCACAAATGTATTAGTCAAATGGAAGACACACAGAGTAATATATTATGTTGGTGAAAAGAATGTGTCAAACATAGCCAATAATTACCCCTACTTGCACACGAACTCACGAGGAAACATTCAATTAACCTCGGCGGTAGAGCATACATTGCTCTTTAGAACCGTAAAGGCGAATTTGCATTTCCCAGAAATGGAACGGCTGCGTCACATTGACGTAGCTTGCTAGCCAGAAGACTTATTTATGCCACATTTACAGGGTGCTGTGCAGAGGGGAGAGAATGCATGACATGCACACAAGTCTGGACCATCTCGGTGAGTGTGAATTAAGGAAAATAATAGTGTGTCAGAAGCGCTTGCTAAGATTGCGTGAAGTCATACCGTAACAGTTAAATTACATTATGCCAATGTTGAATTAAATAATAGTTGCTAAGTACAGCATTTCTTTCTGACATGCTTCTGTTTTTGTATTGCTACAGAGAGATGATTGTTTAATATAACATATGTACTTTCATTAAAATAACAAACAAGTGAGATGGAGCGCCGTGTAATTAGAATACGAACTCTGTTTTGTGCTCATTCATTCGTCTTCAGTTTGGACAGCTTATGACTTTCATTAAGCGAGAAGCACAATCACGTATGAGTGTCCAACTCAGTGCTCAAAGTCAATGATTTCACGGGGATACATCTATCGTCTGGCTTTAGTAGTATATTTAAGCATTTATTCAATCGTCAAAGTATGATTCTCCCGAGTAAAAGTTGTTTGTTTAAATATGCTTGCTTAGTCTTGTACACTCCCATCACACATCGTAATAGAGCAACAAGGAAAGCTCCATGCAGGCAAGCACAGACAAGAGGCACACTATAACAGCACGAGTGCAGATCACACAGCCTAGGTAAACAAACACCCACAAATTGCTCACATGAATATCTACTGAGTGTCAGGTCAACTATTATTACTGACCTCTCTTGAAAATGTCATACCCACGCTTCACAACCAATATCAGGATTCACAATTGGTTTCGTTTAGGTCCGGTCGTGGAGCGTATAATGTGAATTGGCTATAATCCTCAAACCACGAAACAAAGAAAAACAAAGACAGATGTCACTTGGACACATGTGACAAGCGATTGTGTTTTTCAGCAAATGTTGTAAAGCAAGCATGTTTGTTTACAATGTAAACGTTTCTCTGGAAATTATACTCAGCATCATCAGATGGAAGCCAGAACTCAGATCTTTTTGCTTGCTTTTTAACATAGCGGTTCGCTGAAAAACATTATATCAGTGGGCACATTTGCCCACAAGACAACGTGATTTGTTTTGCTCTGTCCGGCGGTGAAGGGTTATAGCTAATTGACATACACTCCACGATAACCAAACCAACTAAACCAATCTTAGCTGATTAAGACTGTGAATCTTAGCAGTGTGCAATAGTGGGCAGTGTGGCGAAACAAAAGAGCCAGTCAGCCCCCCCGTTAGCGCCCAACATGGCAACAAATACTAGACTCATTTTTTAGGCAGGGGTCGATTTAAAAGGGGTCAGATCCAGATTCCACCTGCCAATGGCCTTGTGGGTGGTTGAGCGTTGAATGTCGGTGGGCTACCAGGATTGTGCCACTCCACACCCAAACACAAATAGTAAACAGGTACACACCACAAGAACATAATGTACTCTCCTATATAACTTTTTCTATATAAAACAATGAACATATCCTTAGCTCTTTCGGTAAAGTCACGTTGAAGGGAAACGTCGTGAGAATTTTTATTGTTTTATATATATATTATTTTATTGTTTCCCTTCAACGTGACTTTACCGAAAGAGCTAAGATTATGAATTACTGCAGTCACGAAAGCTTTAAATCAAAATTTAACAATGAACATGTTTGCAGATATTGAACAGATTATCCAAGAATGTCAGTATAACGTCTGCATGTGTGTGTGTGTATACATATACACTGGCCTCAAGGTGCACATGGCCTGGCACAAGCGTCGTGGTGACGTCACCGCCACTTAGTGGCGAATGGCGGTTGTTGTATATGCATTGTATATGCACTGTAGTAGAGTGTATCAAAATTGCCCAGCTCAAGGTACTTAAACAACTCATCTTAAAGGAAATACGCAATTTGCGTTCACGCATTTTATGCATTCGGTGTAGCTTATAATGCAGAGGTCCTGTGCCGGTGGTAATAGAAGTTACAGCTAACAATGCAGCCCTGTAATTGCTTGCTCAGGATCCCATTTTAATCAGGTTTTAGGCGACTGGAGTCTGTAGGAAACTATAAAAAGCACATACGGTACATTTACTGTGTACATCAGTGTTCATATTCATACCATTTATATATATACACCACATTGAAAGGCCAAACATGCCACGGCTCGCCTTGGGGTCTGTTGAAGCTGTTTGTGGGCACTTCACACGCACATTCACACTCAATAGGTTAGCCGTACAGGTGTAAGGGTGGACATGAGAACAGGTTGGGTAATATTTGAACAGAGAGAAAATGACAGTTGTGTCATTGTGCACAAATGGGTGACCGGACAAACATCAAGTGCGAGTTGCTCTCAAACATAGAGACACAGTGGTTGTCTGGACTTGATAAGGGAATGTATCTGAAATGAGCAATACATTTATTCGATGTGAATAGGTTGGATTTGTGAACAGTTATATAGAATGACAGTAATGAGATGCACAAAGATGCCTCTAGGGGTAGACGGGAAATTGGTTTCTGCGGATGTGTACAATGCACAGTACAGTGTCGCATATCCCACCGACTTACATATAGGAGTGTACTTGTGTCCAGTTCAGTTTTCACTTAGAACAGTAGGTGCACCATAGTATCACGTGCCTTTCCTGCTATGAAACGATAACAAGCAAAGTGAACACGGTTGGGAAAGTGCATGTCCGCTTCACGTACACGAAAAAAACAAGTGATGTAAAGCAACATTAGCAGATGGCTGTTAACCACAACATCCCAGATCACGAGACACATTTGTGCCTAATATTGCTTAGGTTGCTCAGACCCCAAATAATCGGTCCAAATAAACTTACTTTATGGATAGACTTTGCACAGCCAAGGCACCAAAGTTTTACTTTACGTAGTTGTGAAGCACTTTTTTCCTGTCTATATATCGTCAAAATTACCCAAGAAAATTTAGCTGATGAGTTAAAACATGCTAATAAAAAAAAATATATGCAGTACAGTTCCATTACATTCAGGGGTGGATTGAGAAAGGGCTGAAAATGATATTATCTTAAGCACCAGCTGCGACCAAAAGTCTATTTTTAAAAATATAGCTTGGTAAAAAAATGTACATGTTGTAACAGGAAGCGACTGTAAATACAACCAAGTAAAATCCGGAATAAAGAAAAACAATAAACTCCAAATGGGGGTGACATGGCCGAGCGGAACGGCATTCGCCTCGCGATAGCTAGAGGTGCACGGTTCGAATCCAGTGACTGCCCTCATTATCACTGCCGTCTGTTTCACAGCGGATATTAAAGATACCCTGACATCATTCGCGAAAGTCGGCCCATTGCGTGACAGCATCAGGGTAAACATTTTCCTAATTCAAAATAACCCAGTTAGAATTATGCATAGCAATAATCGCCCCCTACTGGATGACTAATTCCCTGGGTCAGCCTTGCAAATGAGACTCTCCTGGTCTCTTTAAAGTTCTCACCTGGTTCTACAATTGAACTTGAAACACTGTAACAGCAACAGGTGCTCAAGTGCAACGAATGAAACCTGACATTGTATACATGCCCCCGGAGTCTGTCAGTTCATAATCCCTCTGGGGTAAATCAAATACTACCAATGTGGAGAAATGTACTGGTTGCTCTAACTTTCCAGGCATTGGATTCTCCTTCACTGGCTCAAGGCTGTGCGCAGGATATGAGCACTGCTTCGATGCTCATTTCAGCAAGAAATCAACGACTCTCTTCATGTATTGATACGTTAAGGCCTTCGTTTTTGGCACAATAGCTGAGTGCATCAGTTTCCACGACATCAAATGTCTTTTCATGGTCTAAAATAGCTTGGAAAATTTGTATTTGATATTCATTTAGCCTCTACATCGTCCACTATTCGAATATGTATGATGCTAGTGACAGGACATTTATTCGGGTAAAAAAAAGTATTTTGGCATCAGGGAGGAAGCAGGTCGTGCTTATGCCAGCTATATCGATCAAATTGTGGCTGTTTGTGTTTCATTATATGGCACAGTACAGGCAGTTACGGAAGGGTTATGTTCCCGATAATGATCCGTATCCCGACTTTTCCGTAAGTCGGAAACTGAACAATTTTGCCCCCAAATCAATAAATAAACCCACAGCCGGTAATAGTTGTGGCTCCCCCACCGTTTTCTCTCACTACTGAATGTCGCTGTCTATTTTCTATCGCGACCTGTATCGTATCGCTGTACATACGCTCTGCGCATCCTACGATTTTCTTTAATTTGATCGAATATCTACCCTAACACTAACCCACAATTAAAGTTACGGAACATATACTGTGTCCAGTTGTTTATGAATACCGCATCAACATAACAATATTAATTGTTAACAGAAAGCAGTCAACTTCCGAATGTTCGTTTAGCGTGCATTAGGCTAGGCCTAGACCTCCCCGTTGGCTGAGGCCATAAGCAATCGAAGTGGTAATTGTGTTAAATAAAGTACGCAGAGTAAACAACTCATGAAATACACTCAAAATTAACAAAACTGGCAATAGAAACATGGAGAAAACAAGATATGTCTAAGCATAGAAAACAAATCAGTAACGCTACAAATAATTCCATTAACCTGAATCCGAGCGAATGACGGCTACGTGAAGACGGCCCCCCCTGCCTTACGCCTGCTCGCTCCGCGGTGTTCATCCGCTACCTCACCGCGCCGCACTACTTTCTCTTACGTAACTAACGCAAACATTTCAGCATGTCGACTTATATTTTGAAAAACGATTCATGGGAGCGTTTCCGTAAAGTCGAATTTCTGTAAGTCGGGTCTTCCGCAACCCGAGGACTTACTGTACCTGTAAAACATGTTGCTAGGTTTATGTTTGAGCCACAACCTATCCACAGAAAGTTAAATTTGGGTGTAGTACTGTAAAGCATGTTGTTGGTTCATCGAGACCCTTCAGATAACCTCCAAAAACTTGAATTGTAAACTCATCAATTTAGTATCTTAACCTACAACAACATACGAGATAATTCATGCATATGGGTGATGTTATACATCCCAATGAATGGAAAATAAAATGCTTCACATGCATACTAATCACTACATTGTGGTCTGCAAATGTGTATTTCACGAAAATAAACATTCACTACTTGCTTCGTATGCAAAAAATATGATCACCATGACTCAAGTAAACTATTGCACTATAAGATAATTTTAATACACATATATGCAAAATATTAGGCCTTTTAAAGTTCTGTAATGCCATCATATGTTGTGTTCAGGTCGACAAATTACTTCACAAAATAATTTTTAGTTCCAAGAGATATTCATAATGGTTGAATTTCAGCAATTCTGGAAAAACAAGATTTTTGTCAAATGCAATCACGAGGCACACCCAATGCTTGAGGTGTTTGGTAACACTGAGTAAACACCCCAAAATTAAGTTTGATACCAAGGTATTTATACTCTTTGGTTCTATTCGGTAAAGTCACGTAGGTAAAAATGAAATAACAAAAAATCACGACGTTTCGGCCACAACACAAGTGGCCTTCATCAGGTGAAGGGACTGGACTGTCCAGAGGACAGCGTTGGAGTGAAGACAGTCCAGTCCCTTCACCTGATGAAGGCCACTTGTGTTGTGGCCGAAACGTCGTGATTTTTTGTTATTTTATTTTTACCTACGTGACTTTACCGAATAGAACCAAAGAGTATGGATCCTTGCAGTCACGAAAGCTTCAAATCTAGAACCAAGGTATTTGTTTAGTTATAGCTATAAAAAGATATGCATAGTATACACACACGCACATTTGTGTTGAGCAAAAACAGAAAGCAGCTAAACCCCAATACTACAGAGTCAAATTTTGATTTAAAGCTTTCGTGACTGCAGGGATTCATATTATTGGTTCTTTCGGTAAAGTCACGTAGAAGGGAAACAATAAAATAATAAAAATATAAAACTACAGAGTCAGCTTACAAGGGGGTCCAGGGCTTAGCTGTCAAGCATTTCAATTAAACGACTACTACACCACCTGCACAGGGATAATTTAATGGTGTTAACAGTGAGTTACCCCCCTTGCCTGACCCAACATGGTTCTAAGATATAAAATGTTTGAATAATGAACGTAAAATTGTCCATTTGGTTACTGCAAGCGAATAAAAACAAATCAAAGGAAAGCTTTGCATGGGTCACGTCATTTGTTTGCGCTCGCTGGTTACGCTTGAAAACCGCATGGTTTACGATCAAATAAGTTTAGAAATGTAGTTTAGATCATTCCTACGTTACCATATGGATTGAAAATTCATCGTAGTTATTTTATATTGGCAAATTCATACGCGATTATTCGCCAATGAACCTCGTGCATTATATACGTTCACACATTTATAAAATAACCTCACGTACCCCCCCCCCCACCCCCAGAAATATTGCCACGTAACCCCTAGGGGTTCGTGTACCCCCAGTTGACAACCACTGCTCTTGTGAGAAGACCCCTTCAGCCACCAGTGTCACGAGCGAGATATGGCAGGGTCACCGCGGGGATCAGTTGCCCACACATTGGGCCACCACACGCGACCTCGCTACCGGTCGACTAACTCTGCTGAACTCATATCATGGGACCCTTTTTTTCTGCCAGTATCAAAGTACTGTTCGCCTTTTGGCGTTCGCTGCTCTGACACTGGTGAGGCAAGGCCATAAAGAAGTCTACCTCTGGTGTGCAGGCCAATCGGTTTCAAAGACAATGCCCATATATTATCGGAGCATGTTTGTTTGATTCCTTGAAAAAGGTTTGATTCCTTGAAAAAGGTTTCCATTTGGTGGTTGGTCATCTTAACACATGTTTTATTGCCAGGAAGGGTAAAACGTATTATTTGACCACCTGCATAGATCCTGCAGTTAATAGTAATTCGAGGTCGATAGTTGCTATCTTAATGACTGTAAAATGGGATGTTGCGCTTTTTTGTGAAGGCTTGTACAATTATAATAATGAGCTGTGGACTTGAATGTCACTGAACATTATTTTTCTTATCATCACACATGCAGGTAAAGACCAAACTGCGCCCGCGAAATGGACGGGTCAGAAATCTATCTCGGAGAGCTGGGGAAAGAGCTCTTACATACAGTCGCTTGCCAACAGTGCTGCAAAACAATTAACTCCATCGATGTTCAGCTGTCACGCCCGCATGCTCACCTGTGCAACGGTAACATGCTGCTCGTGAAATTTGCAAGCGGCGGAAAAAACAAAGGTCAGAAGAACGCGCCGCCAAATCGCGACGTCTGGAAGGTAGCCCGACGTCGGCCGACTTGTTGTCAGCCACACAAGTACTTCGTGTGCTGGCATTTTAACCTGAAAGAAGGCTGCTCGGTGCATCGGGCCAGGTGTACGTTCGCATGGTCAGAGGAGGAAGTCGCCCTTTGGAGCTTTGAGAAAAAGCACAAGTGCACTCAGGCACAGATGATCGAAGCTGCACGGAGGAAAATCAGAGAACAAAGTTCAAAGGGCACGGCAGCCACTGGTGCCGCTCCTGAACAAGACACAATCTCAGAGGTGGCAATTAAACAAATGGATGAGTTTGGTGGTACGTTCAGAGAAATTTGCTGCCAGTGCTTCTATAGTGTGCCGCAGGTGATCAGTGAAGACGCTTGCCGTCGCCTGACACCTCACTGGCCTTGGAAAGGTCTGCTGGTCCACGTGAGCAAAACAGATAGGTCGGTCAGTTACAAGGAAGTCCGTCCTCTCAATGACAAGTCAAGGTTGGCGCCATGTCACCATGCTTTGAAACAACGCCATTGTCCAAAAAGTCAAATGTAAGTTGTCCGCTTTGTTCAGATTTTCATGCATTTTCACGTCAGATTACTGTCTGTGCAAAGATGTAAAACTATTTTACCATCTTCCTTCTGCGATAAGCATTCGCGGGTTTTGTTTTTTTCCTGTAAAAGATAGGCATGGTAGATAGAGATATATATATATAACTTAAAACGTTCCCTTATCGGTACGATATTATCTGTGAATTAGCATTGCCGCAACACACCATTGACTGTACAACAATACATACATGTGTATTGGTCTTCACGTCAACAATACTGTATGGTACTTCATCTCACCACAAAGTGCTGCAACTGCTTGACTTTAAGAGAATGCAATACACTAAGCGTCAAAACATACCGCAGAACTGATATAGAGTACTGTACTGGTTGACACTCCGGGCGATAAACCTCACCCACTGCCTCTTGTATTGCTGAGACAGTCTTGACTGCTCTTTTACAACTGGAGACCACTAAAGTCCCATGTCGAGTAATAATCAGTGTGACTGGTGTGAGGCTATGAATTGTACTGCTGCCGGAAAGTATTTTTTGTTTTTATCAGAATATAACCATCGGCTTGAAGTCAAAGGTCTAAAAGGGTACTTACACCATTGGAACCTCCTTTGCCAGTAGCAAAATATGATAATTGTTTTTTTACCCTTTTATCTGGCAACAAAACTGACACCTATTTTTTTTTACCCCGAGTTCTCATACTCTGATGGTCCATTGTCTTTGAGTTGTGCGCCTTTTGGCGTCATCTGGTCCAACACCAAAGTGAGACGAGGCTCTAAGGAAAGCTGTCTCGGGTGTGGACCAATCAATTTCAAGGACAGTGCCAATACATTATCAGAGTTATGTTTTTTGTTTGCATTCCGACCGCAGGTATTGTGGTGGGCAATGCAGACATGACTCCTTGTAAAAAAAGGTGTCAGTTTTGTTGCCGGATAAAAGGGTAAAAAACTAATTATCAGGGTACTTACACTAACTCAGTATCTCAGCACCATTTAGTGTTGTGACTGAACTAAAAATCACCCAATTATTCACACCTGTAATGTGCACCACTAATTTTAAACTGTAGTACTTTGTACCTGGTAAATGGGAAATACAGATGGCTGCAAAGAAAACAATAAGTAATTCCATATTCTGCAAAACGTGCTTAAATAATTGCATGTAAACCGCGCGCTAATTATTCATAATACTCGTCAATGGCATGCAACACTTAATTCAAGCTCATAAGATCGCACATTGAATGTATGTTTTACTCCAAAAAACAATGATATGCGTGTCGAATGCAAACTCCATGATTCTGTATGATCATGGTGTGTTTAAGATTGTTCCACAGAATGGACTCTTAACAATTGGTTTTCAACATGAGTAACATTTACATGTACGGGGGAACGCCTCTTATCCGTGGTGACGTGGGGGACAAACGCCGCAGGTCATGTGTGTTATTTCACTCCACTTATTACCATCGCGGATAATAATAACATAGTGCCGCAGGTAATAAGAGTTTTCACATACCCTAAAGCTCCTGCGAACATTGGGAATCGTGGGTTCCAGGGTCGTGGGTCAGGTGAGTCCTCCTGGACTACAGCACCAGCTCGGTTAACTATCACACTACGATGTTCTTCTTCTTCTGCTTGCAGATGTTCGCACTCACACAATGATGTCGAGTTGTCCGTATGGAAGGCTGAAACTTCGGACAGATTAAATCGAGCGCACCTCTTAAAGCTGTCGGCGAAGATTGCCCCGGCGAAAAAGCACGCAGCGTTACCCACGGACGCGAAAGAGGAATTGCCAGAACGCATCTATTGCTGCTTCTGCCTCGTCACCTGCGAATCGCCGCAACAGTTTGCTGTCCACAAAACATCAGCAGAGCACAGGCGTATGATCGCCATGGACTCAGATTTGGATTGGCAGCACAGAAGTCCACCACTGAATGTCACAAACGGACGCTACACAAGATGTATCCGGTGAGAAAGATATTCGGATACAATGCTCGGTTTATTTGTTTGCTGTGCTTGGCACATTATGAAAGAAATGTGTTGTGAATTAACAAAGTGGATGTGATGATCGCTACAATTTGAGCATTTAGTCAATCTGACGACTGTGGAATTACAGGCAATCCAATAAACAACCCGTGCTTAACAGCGTGGTGAAGTATGGACAATCAAACCTTATGATTGATACGGCGTTCGGAGGCCATCATCCAGCAGTGGATTGACAGAGGGACGTGCATCATTATAGCACTTAATTATTTTTTATTAAGAAACTAAAAACACTTAAAATGTATTAAATGGGTTCGGACGTAGTTTACACGATCGTGTAGAATGTTTTCGCTCGTCAATACAGTATGGCCATGGGCTGGGTTGGAACCAGCAGTGTGTTGACAAAGTGTGGTGCATCATCATCGTTATCATCATACCTGTCCACCCCTTATCAACCCCTACCTCATTGCAGACCAATTCAGACCTTATTGGCCACCCCGTGCCCTTATACATCTCAACGTTCATCATACAGAGTCCCCATCGCAAGGGAGAAACACACAAGTAGATAGACAAAAACACGTTTTTTTTTGTTGTGGCCCGCATTGAAACGTCTGTACGCCGTATGGACCTGAAACCCGATTTCCCTGCACAAGAACACGGGGTTAAACCGTACGGGTCGACAGCCATGCATGATCATCATCATCATCATCGCCGTCGTTGTCATTGCTGTGTCGCGCAGTGGAGAGGAGTGCGAACTTGGCCGCGAATGCCCCAGGGCGCACTCGACGGAGGAGCTGCACGAGTGGGAGAGCCGCCTCGAGCTGCGGCAGAGTCGGGCGACGAAGGCTCGCCAGCTGGGTCTGCAGCCCTACCGCGAGCAACTGCTCGACAAGTACGCCTCGTCGCAGGCAGAGGTGTCCGTGGTGGGTCAACGCAGATCCCCCAACGGCGGCCCCCTGGGCACAGCCCCCGTTGGTTTGCGCAGTGAGACACAGGCGTTTTGCGTTGACCACTTTGAAGATTATAAAGATTTAAAGCTTTCGTGACTGCAAGGATCCATACTCTTTGGTTCTATTCGGTAAAGTCACGTAGGTAAAAAAATATAAAACAACAAAAATCACGACGTTTCGGCCACAGCACAAGCGGCCTTCATCAGGTGAAGGGAGCAGACTGTCTCGAGGACAGCGCTGTTTTCACTCCAACAACAAAAATCACGACGTTTCGGCCACAACACAAGCGGCCTTCATCAGGTGAAGGGAGCAGACCGTCTCGAGGACAGCGCTGTTTTCACTCCAGCGCTGTCCTCGAGACAGTCTGCTCCCTTCACCTGATGAAGGACGCTTGTGTTGTGGCCGAAACGTCGTGATTTTTGTTGTTTTATTTTTTACCTACGTGACTTTACCGAATAGAACCAAACACTTTAAAGATTATAAAGATGATGACGATGCACATAATTGAGCGTGAAATGTCTTCACGAGCAACCGTTACCCGTGTCAAGCATTTTTTTTTATTGCATTGTAGTGCTGTATTTAAAGACGGATGTGTTTTCTTGTTTATAGATTGCAGAGAAAATAGACGATGCCGCTGTGGAATGCCAGACAAGCTTGAGCAAAACCTGCCAACTACAGCATCATATTTCATGGACATTTAATGTTACATCCAAGGTGCGTTTTCTAAAGTTGAACAACAGTTGACATTGATGCCAAGAATAGTAAAATAGTTGTTTTATGTTATTGTGCAAATGTCAGAGTCACAGATGAGCATCTTGGGAGTTACTATATTGAAATAAAATACGAGTCTGCCTGAATATCTTATGCACATGTATTTCCCGTACAATGTGTGAACATGCAGCTGCAATGTGAATTGTCTCATGGCCATTGATATTCACTCTCAATATTGAATAAAATAAAGTTGTCTAAATTTTACATCATTTAAAAAAGTAATAGTTTAAAGCTATTTGCACTTCAACACAAGTATGGTAGAAGTCAGGAGTCAACACAATTAGTAAGATTGAAGGGATGTTGCCATAGTGTAATGGTTAGCACACTGGACTTTGAATCCAGACGTTGCCAGTTCAACATGACCTTCTGGGGTGCGAATTTAAACAAGGAGTCATGTTTCTAAAATTCCCCTACCTTTGTCCACCCAGCAGTATAAACGGGTAGACCAGAAATAGTTGATTGGCGGTTCACATGTTGTGTGGTCAAATGTGGGCACTCCCACCTATTACAAGAAAAATGGCCATCATGGAAGAGTAGGACAAATTCCCTCGAGGGGCTCTTGCGATTCCCCTCGGGAAGGGCCCTTTTGCCAGAAGTGGTGCAAGATGGCAATTGCAGGACTGCACCTTACATGTAGGAGTCACATCAAACGCCACGTGCACTCTAACGCAATGCTCGATATTTGTGTTGCAGAGTCCCCTCTCGCAAGTCGCCCTGTTGCAAAGTGACCCTGACATAAGCTTCCAGCTGGTGGGGCAAGGTCTTGGAGAGACCTGTGTGGAGGCAAAAGGAGATGTATTTGCTATCACACCAGCCACCGACCCTGGCAAAAATCAAGGGGTGTCCTTAAATCCTCAAGATGGCGACAAAGCGAGCCATCATGCCATTGTTCAAGTGTCATTTAAGGCCACAAGGTATGGATCTTACCAGCAATGGCTGGTGTTTGACTTTGGGAGCGAACCTGTGCTCAAGAAGGAACTCCACGTGGAGGTGGTGGATGCTGCTGCTAAAAGAGTTGACTTGGGTGAGACCTCGCATAAATCCACTGTATTTAAAACATGTTTTAGTGGCAAACGTCTGTTTTCTAGAGCCTTGGCGGTAGAATGGGAAGACAGATTTCGCCACATGCTATTGAACTACAGAACCCACTGGCCTGCAAGGTGAAGGGGTGGCCCTGTGGCAAGATGTTATCTCCCCTGCCTGGTATGCAGGAGGTCACGAGCTCGATCCCGATCCTGATGCTAGTATATTTGGAGTTTGCATTTTATACCCATGGTCGTCTGAATTTTTCTCCGGGGCCCTTGGGTTATTCCCTCCAGATGTAGAAGCGTGCGTTTAAAGTATTTGGCTGCTATACATTTCCACGTGATTATCCACTTCGTTGAGCTATCATTTGTGGCCAGGTCGCTTCTGAAAAAGAGCTAACAGCTCAGTGGGCTTTTCCTGGTAAATACAATTATTTCGTTTTATATAAAATAGCTTATTATATTCTTGGTTCTTTCGGTAAAGTCACGTAGAAGGGAAACAATAAAATAATAAAAATATAAAACAATTAAATTATCACGATGTTTTGACCGCAACACAAGCAATCATCATCAGGTGTGAAAACCACAACAAGAAAATTTGAAAAAAGTGGCGGTTTTTTAACGTTAGCACCACGGAGAGCGATTTGACAGTTTGTTCAGATGGACGAGTCCATCTATGTTTGGAAAAGAGGAGGGGGGGGACGAAAAATAATGGATGCGGTCTGAAAGCCACCTTAAGCGTGATCAATCAATTAAGACCCGAAATGGTTTATCAAATAATTCCAATGATTGCTAAGTCAGAATACATCTTCTCGGTTGAAATTGTTTTATATTTTTATTATTTTATTGTTTCCCTTCTACGTGACTTTACCGAAAGAACCAAGAATATGGATCCCTGCAGTTACGAAAGCTTTAAATCAAAATTTAGCCTATTATACTTTAGGTGATAAATGTTCATAGCAATGAAGGGCTGTGAGGTGACCAGGAGATGGCAGGACATCAAATTGGTTCATAACGACTCATCCTTGTGGAATTTTGAATGTTATCACTGCATACTTTTAGGTTTTCTCCAGGTACTCCAGTTTCCAGGGAATCCAATGCAACAAATCACCATCCTTGCCGAGTTTTCACGATTCTAGATCATGATTTGATGCAATAATCGGCACTTTGTTGTGTTATTTTTACAATCTAACTTGAATTGTGTTTTCTCTTTGTTTGAACAGTATGATTTGTTCCATTAGCTTAAAAGTAACACACATATAATTATCATAAACCAGTCAATTCTCACACGCGATTATTTAATGCATCTTTCGTATGAGAATCAATGTTAATTTATGCTTTATTACATGCATAGTAATACATATTAATGTGTGTATGTATCCTTTTAAGAATTCCTCGTGTACTCAATTGCTCAAGACTGGGAATTTAAAATGTAGTTTTTTTTCCCTATCACGATTACAGAATGTGTAGAGCAATAAAACAGGTGAGCTGTTCGCCTTTTGGCGTCCTCTGGTCTTACACTGTTTGAGACTAGGATCTAAAGAAAGCTGTCTCTGGTGTGGACCAATCGGTTTCAAAGACAATGCACATACTGTCAGAGCATGTTTTTTTTGTTTGCATGTTCACCACAAGTATATGTGGTTAATGCAGACATGATTCCTTGCAAAATGTTTCAGTGTTTGAACATCTTAACACAGCTGTTTTATTGCCCGAAAGGGTAAAACCTATTCTTATATTTTGATACTGGCCAGGGAGGTCCCATGATGTACCTTAATATAAACCAAAATATGCGTGAAATAAACCCATGGCTACAAACAAGGACCATTCTGTATCGAACATGTGCCCTGCAGGAAACGTGGGTCACGTGCCAGTGATGAGCACACGGTGGCACAGCGGAAACCGCACTGTTATGTTGTTGCGAGATTACTCGGAGGATGATCATCGTCTGCTGGCACGCTATAAGAGGCCTGCAGTCACACTGGATCCCCTCGCAAAAAGACCGCTGCCCCCACAGATCACAGCTGACAACTACCAGCAGAGCCTGCACACAGCGCTGTATCGTGAGGAGGCGGCACAAGAGACGGTGCTGTCCAGGTGAGTGCTTACTAAACCTGCGACTTAATCCCAGAGCACTCTTTAAACGGGCATGCTGCTGTGGTGCAATGTTTAGCGCATTGAACTTGCAATTCAGAGGTCGTCATTTCAACGTTGCCTCTCAGTGCGGTAGCTGAAACAGAGGGCAGAGAGAAGTGTCTTACATCCCCCCCGCCACCCATCTCTGTCCACCCGCACCTCCGATTAGCGCGGTTTGGCTACGTACGGTGTGAAAGAAGTTCAACATGCATACACCCGATGACATTAAAATTTCCACCACAGTTATTCAATCGGCAGTTCTCGTGCGGTGTACTCAGGTGCGGGTGCTCCGACCTCTTTCACGACGTCTGGCCCACATGGACGAGTAGGCCAACACACACACTCTAGAAGGGATCTCTAGTGCTCCCTCTAGTGGAGGCCCTTCCACCAGCAGTGGCGCGAGTGAGAAATTGCAGGGCTGCACCTTTTTTACCTTTTACTCTTTAAAATAATCATTTAAGGAACAAACTGATGCTTTTGATTTAAAGCTTTCGTGACTGCAGGGATTCATATTCTTGGTTCTTGAGGTAAAGTCACGTAGAAGGGAAACAATAAAATAATAAAAAAAATATAAAACAATAACATTCTCACGGCGTTTCGACTGCAACACAAGCAATCATCATCAGGTGTGAAAAACACAGCAAGACAATCTGAAAAAAGTGGCGGGTTTTTTCAAATGTTCTTGCTGTGGTTTTCACACCTGATGGTGATGATTGCCTGTGTTGCAGTCGAAACGTCGTGAGGATTTTATTGTTTTATATTTTTATTATTTTATTGTTTCCCTTCTACGTGACTTTACCTCAAGAACCAAGAATATGAAACTGATACTTGTTGGGTTTGCAGATACCATGTAGGGTGTATGTCCTAAAGTTATGTTGTGCAATCTTTGTTACATCACACAGTTTGGGGTTCGTCGTGAAGAAAACATGACTTTGTTTTTGTTTTAGCTGTACAAGCTTCATCAGTTTCTGACGTGCTGTGAAAAGCGTTAGTGCCCTATAAGCTACCAATAGACATATTGGGTATTATATGCTGTATTCACCGATGGTTATATGTGCGATGCGTGATTACAGGCTCAATTTGCAGACCGAAGTGCTGATCAAAAAGATGGTACACATGCCAACGGGGGAGATATACATAGCATCGACGGGGATGCTGTTTGCAGAGGTGCCAATACCTCCACAAATGGGCCCAGACTCAGAGGAAGGCATGCTACTCCGGTAAGATAACAACGACAATAACCACCAGTCACACATGGCATTATAAAGGAATTCAAAAGAATGGCCACAAATGCAACACACCAGTGTACTTACAATGACAGCAGTACTTAACATTTTGCGGCACTGTCATTGTAATATTCACTGTCCGCATTGAACACGGGAAAATATATGAAATACACTAAACGCACCTACTCTACATATCACATACCAAGCATGATTATCGTCGCTTGAGTAAAGTATATAGAGTTGTTAACACAGTAAGGGAGTTATCATTGGTGGAAAGAAGACTGGTGAAAAGATTTGGCTGGCCCCAATGCATTATTATTAATTATTAATACTCTAAACGCTGCTCTCTGATTGTATGTAAACTAATATGAAGTATGCAATATTATACCCTACAGTATATACAATTATCAAGCTTGAAGACATGGCATATCCCCACAGGGAACACAAGCAGGTCAAAATATGTTACAATTGGGCAGATGTGTTGCGATTTATTATTTTAATGAAGAATAACTAAAATGTTTCCAATTAAATGCCAATTCCAGTTATTTACATTTATTACATTTAAAAAGTGTTAATGTAATTCAGCCTATGATCAAATCACACAGAATGCACCCAAGATCAGCATTAGAGTTAAGCATCGGTAGAAATTTCACAACCGCAATAACACAGGTTTTATAGGCTGTAGAGTTGTGATCAGCCAAATAACCCCTACAACCAGCACGTCGTGGAGAGGGCCTTCATCCAGCAGTGTATTGACAAAGGGCTGTGCAAATACATGTCATGCAATGCATACATGGATGGTGCACCACTACCTCATCCAAATGATACGTGTATTGCAATACAGACTGACTCACATGTGGACAAAATTAAGTTTCTTAAAATATACTAATTTAATACTGTCATCACCTAGTACAAGCATGCATGTAATAAAGCAGCAACCTGCATTTCAATGGCCGCACCTGCACTCGGTATGGGTTGCTACCATAGTGGCCACACGCGTGCACAGCACGCTTTTAAAACACGACGCGTCAACGTTGCTCACCTCTCCGCCCTCCCGGTTCGGCTGCTGCTGCTGCTGCTGCCCTCCAGGCGGAGTGTGGACGTGGCACTGGTCGCTCTGCCTGGCAGCGAGGATGGCTCGCCAGTCTACGAGGTTTCCCTGTCCAAGGATCTCTGCTCCGTCGACTGCTTGCGCCTATTGCTGCCCGAATCGGTCTGCCGTGCCCTCGCGCTCGACGACGGCACCAGCCGGCCCCTGGACGTGCAGTTCCAGTTGGACCACCTCACGTTTTGCATTCGGCACGCAGCGGTCGACCAAATGGATGCACGGCTCATCCTCCCCGACATCACCAACTGTGCCTTGCCAACAACAAGGCCAGGCATCCTCCCTGCCACTCTCAAAGGTGCCATATCGGGCTACAGCTTTCAGGATATCATAATCAGAATATTTATTTATACTGCAGGAATCCAATGAGATGGGACACTATTTTGCAAAGATGTCCAGTAATTTTCACAGATGTCCAGTAGTTTTGTGCAATACTATACAGTAGAAGTATTCATTAAGATTGCACTCATTACACACAAAGTGCTTTCCAAAAATGAACCACAATACCTTGCTGATCTCGTCAAGGACCATAAACCATCACAGCAGCGGCTTTTGGCTAGCCATCGAATATTTAGACATGTACTGCACGTGCAAACATCTTGTTTGTAAATGAAGCATGCCATGCCAAATCACCATTATTATTACCACCAGCACTACCACAAACTTAACACTTATAATATCCACACATCACATACAACGCATTGCCTTGCAGGTAATGACAAGCAGAAGAAGGTGATCATGTTTGCAGTGGGGGAGAGAACGTGTGACAAGCCAACACCTCCATTTCTCATGTACGGGCCTTTCGGCACGGGCAAGACCTACACTCTCTTCCAAGCAACAGTGCAGATCCTGGCCGAGCCAAACGCTCGGGTCCTCATTTGCACCGAGGCAAACAGGTGCGTTCCCTCCCTCAGGGCGTCGTGGATGTCTGCCAGGTCCGACGTCGTATTGCTCATATCGTGAATCTCCTGCAGTCCACATCGATGTTGGGGATGATATTCGCGGACTCTTTAATCCGCGATTTAAAACAAATGACTCGCGCGTTAAATGTGAAAAATCACCAATTTTAGCAGTTTATTATATGCGTAATATTCTACACTTGTTCATCAAGGAAACCTCAGTGAATCTCATGACTCGTTTTCAGTAGTGAACACCCAAGTTTTCGCAGTAGGGAGTGATGATTGCTATGTAAATTCTAACTGAATATTTCGCTTTTTTTGTTTGGCCCATATTTTTAAGGTTAATAGACCTGCAGTATTCATAAGGGTGGCTACAGAATTCTCTAACAAACGGTGAATGCACTACTGCTAGGCCATGTCACCACCCTTTATTGGCCATTTACTGCTGTTCGAGTTGTAAAATAGGCAAAACAAGTGGTGGATATTAGCTATCATGCCTTTTATGGCAGAGCCAACAATACGCATTCATGCTCCGGGTATTAGTGACCTCCACTGAACTTATTTTCACAGGCATTATTCGTGGCGCAAATCAGTTGAAGTTCGGATTGATCCTCTTACTGACAAGAGTTATTTTGCAGTGCGGCCGATCTCTACATCCAAGAATACCTTCACGAGTACGTCACGTCTGGCTTCAAGGAAGCAACGCCGCTCCGCATAGTCTACAAGTGGCGGAACATGAACACCGTGAGCGAGGTCGTGAGGAGGTACTGCTGCCTGGACCCTAACGGCCCATTCTTCGCCGTGCCAAGCCTCGAGATTGTGAAGGCTCACCGCGTGGTCATTGCCACGTACGCGCAGTGCCGCACGCTGTGGCAGCTGGAGCTGCCTCGGGGCCACTTCTCTCACATCCTGCTGGACGAGGCGGCTCAGGCACTGGAAGCGGACGCACTCATCCCGCTCGCCCTGGCCGACTCGAGCACCCGTGTGCTCTTGGCCGGCGACCATAAGCAGATCACGCCCAAGCTCTACTCCATGCCAAATGACGGTCAGTTTAATAATGCTGGATACTATTCTAGATTTAAAGCTTTCGTGACTGCAAGGATCCATACTCTTTGGTTCTATTCGGTAAAGTCACGTAAGTGAAAAATAAAACAAAAATCACGACGTTTCGGCCATAACACACACCTGATGAAGGCCGCTTGTGTTGTGGCCGAAACGTCGTGATTTTTGTTGTTTTATTTTTTACCTACGTGACTTTACCGAATAGAACCAAAGAGTATAATGCTGGATACGTTATTGCCTCCAACGTGAGAATGTTTATAACGGACGTGAAACACGTAAGCAATTTAGACATGAACAAGTGGCTTACTTGGCTAGCGCAACCCATCTGTTACATGTTGGCCAATTACATTGGTAACTTAACAGCCTTCTATTGAATGGAATGTACAAAAGTTAACCGGCATTATGAGCCATTACTTCTCAGCAGTGCTTGCTCATGAATACAGAAACCGATGAGATGTAAACCTGGGAATCACAGTATGATACTTGTATCTCGGTCCCCTTTTTTCCAGATAAGCAGTTCGTCATACGGACTCTACTCCAGAGACTCTTCCACCATTACCAGCGCCAGAATCACAACACCGCACAGTGCAGTCGCATCATCCTAACGGATAACTACCGTTCAAGGCCGGAGATAGTCAACTTCGTATCAAAGCATTTTTACCTGGGCAACCATGACAAGGACTTTAAAGGAATCAAGGCTCGGGCCGATGTTCCTCGTCACCCCGATCTCTACCCACTGACCTTCTCTCACGTCAGCGGCAAATGCGACTTTGACGAAGTCACTCGGACATGGTAAGAAGCGTGAGCAGCAGCCAAGCCAATGTAGAGTCACAATATGTAATTACAAATGTTTCATCTGTAGTGAAAAAGAGTGTATGCATTGCTTTGTGTGGTTATCGGATACCATAAAATACACTTAGACTTCAACCAAACCTGTGATTGATACCTGATGTTAAAGTAAAGAAGAACATTTTTTTGTGATTTTAGCAATATATGCCAACAGAGCTCCCACCCCTTTTCATTGTTGTAAATTCCCAACTGTCCGCATATCTTACACAGCAATAACTAACATTCAGTATCTATACACTTATGTACAGTAAATAATAGTACAGTAGTAGATGACACCGATTGTGTAACAACTGCTGAGCTAAAACGTATCATTAGTATACTGCACCCATTAATATTAAAGTAAAAATGTTGTGTGCTATCAGTTCAAAGAAATGCATTGCTTGAAATCATCAGTACAGATTAAAAAAAAAACTATAACAGCAAGAATAATACAATTATTGCGTCTCTACATCAGTGTTCTTCATTGCAAGGCCCGCGGGCCACTGGCGGCCCCTGATGCCCTTTTCGTGCAGCCCATGACATGCGAGCCCCCACAATACACAAATAGCTAAGCCAAAGCACCTCTTGCAAGTGGTGTGTAGGCGCTCACACCGATGTCTTATCGGCGAAGGTGGGCGGGCGCCCCTCTGAAAATTAGTGAAGAACACTGTCGTAGACCATGCCTATGTATTGTGAAAATATGCCCTTGCCTGAAGGTACAACACCACGGAGGCCCTGGAAGTTGCGGAGCGTGTGGCTAACATCCTACAAACTTGGCCCGAGATCCATGGACGGCTGGAGCAAAGCCAAATTTGCGTCATCTCCTATTACAGCTCACAGGTTCGAGTCTTTCGGATGCATGTAACAACAAAATCAATGAAAACCTTCAGTCGTTAAGAAATACTTTACACGATTAACAATGTAGCTTTGGCAACATCTTCTCACTCGTATGTTGTTACCATTTTTCAACAAGGCGTGAGCACCAGAAACATTGGATACTTAAAGAAAATAAAGCATAGTGACATCCCATTATTTTTCAAGCAGATACAATAAAAATGTAATAAATTGTGGTTTTGTAGAATTTAGGTGGTGAATGAATGCACTGTTTTCAGAATGCCAATTCAATTTGATATCACCAAACTTTTACTCGGGTTGCTTTTGTGTGCCATCAGATCCATTCATAATGATTTATATATATAGTGCCTTTCAAAGATCCGCAAGTGGTGTACATGTGAACATTTCAACACACAATGAATCATCTTTGTATAAAGATGGTAAATACAAGATGTTGAGCACAAAACATTGAGTAGTACATGACCATATTCTTGGTTCTTTCGGTAAAGTCACGTAGAAGGGAAACAATAAAATAATAAAAATGTTTTAGATTTTTTGTTATTTAATTGGTTCCCTTCTACGTGACGTAAAGTCACGTAGAAGGGAAACAATAAAATAAAAATAATAAAAATGTTTTATATTTTTATGATTTAATTGGTTCCCTTCTACGTGACTTTACCGAAAGAACCAAGAATATGAATCCCTGCAGTCACGAAAGCTTTAAATCAAAATTTAGTACATGACCTTTGCATTAATTAAATACATTCATTTGTTTAACACGTAGACTTTCGTGACCAATATCATCCATAATACAGGGTTTTTTTTCACGCGATCTAACCAAAAAAACCCATATTATGGACATTCATTTGTGTGTGTGTGTTTTCAGGTCAAGCTAATCCGGTACGTGTTACGGAGGAAGCACATGGGATCTGTCAATGTAGACACTCTCCAAAGCATTCAAGGTGCTGTCAATACACAAACTGCTCTGCACACACTCGCACAAGAGATTATTTACGTCCAGTTGCGTTACATCATGACATCACATTCGCTTTTTTCACATCCACAGAGAAAATATTTCATTGCACATTTATTTTTCCAAATTTGCTCCTCATTATTTAAAGTAGTCAAGGGTCTCGTGAGCAGCATACATGGGAAATTTTAAATTGGAAACATTTTTCCTATTTTCACCTTTTCAAAATTTTTGTGTATCATGGATATATACATGTTTAATCTATTGTGATTCTCACATCGTGAAAATAATGTTTTGACTTTATTTCATGAGGAAATTGCAGCAGACAACATGACACAACCTGGCAGGGTAATAACATTACCGAGTCACAACAGAAAAACCCTCGATTGATGATTTCCTTATCAGGCCCAAGAACCTATGAATGTGTCTTAGCGTAAAGTTAGCTCTTTGATCTTCATACCAGCATTACTCCTCCTTGGTTATCCAGTCACCTAGCTTTAATTTATATTTTTGTAAATTATATAAATTAACTTCTTATCATATGGCTAATAAATGTGGTCATTAACTTAAAAATATACAACAAAACGAAGAAGTGCCCAAAGAAGCATGGAGTAATGTATGCTTGGAATTATACTTCAAGACAGAAAGAGGAGCACACTGATGAGAGCACATATGCAGGTTAATTTCATAATTCAAGTGGGCTTGGGCAGGATGTGTCACTAAAAGTGATGATGGTCAATCGTGAAAAATAATAACAGAATGGCCGCCACAGAAACTTATATATCAGGTTTCCACAGCCTTGATAAAAATGTAATTTTTAAACTTTATTCAAATGTGACTCATTTGTGATTTCATCACCAGTTGATGCTTAAGCGGATTGTTCAGCAACAGCCGCTTTGCTTCAGAAGCGTTATCTGGCATCAGATTTGTTTCATCTGCTTCAGGCTTTTTCAGGCCGAGTAGGACTTTGGGATGATGGGCAGCATCTCGTGTGTGATCGGGGTATGTAGACTTTGTGAGAGACCACAGTGTGATTACATCTTCCAGTTGGATTCCTGAGGGTTGTCACAAATGGGGTGTTTTCTGGCGAAACCTTGTAACTGCAGATTGTATCCTTTGAGTCTTTCGGTAAAGTCACGTAGATAGGTTCAAAAATGATTAAATAAACAAAAACCCAACGACGTTTCGATCGCAACACAAGCGACCGTCATCAGCGGATTGCTTTATCGAAAGACCCATAGAATATGAATTCCTGCAGCCACGAAAGCTTTAAGTCACTGCAGACTGTAATATGAAAGAAATATATCCTAGAGTATGTCCGTACAAGTGTCGAAGTGCCGAAATCAGCTTCTGTCCAGCAGCTGAGTGGATTATCAAATTGCAAGACTAATGGTGATAGCTTTGAGGAGGCCTTCGTTGCCGATGATGAAAATGACGGACGTCGATATTTAACGCTCAAGTCGACCACTGTCTCCCACCAGGGAAGGAGTTCACTGTGATCGTGCTGAGCACAGTGAGGACGAGGTCCAGCCGGCAGAGCATGGTGACGGACGGTAACCTGGGGTTCTTGGCAGATGCGTGTGCCCTCAACACGGCCATGACGCGGGCGCGTGCCCTCGTGCTCGCCGTGGGCGATGCCATGGCGCTCTGCTCCGTGGGGGGCTGCAGCCGCGTGTGGCAGAGTTTCCTGCGCGAGGCTCACGTCCACAGCAGCATGCTACCGCTCAGCATGGTGCCTGAGGACATCGCCGCCAGTCTGTCAGACTTGGCAAGGCTGGAGGGTGTTGAAAGGCGATCGCAGCTTCCTGGCTTAAAAGGTAACGCGTGTCCACTTACAGATGTATTAGACGACTGTACTCTATATGGCGTTAAAGATGCATGGCTTATAGTGTACAAATTGACTCCAGGACCTTACCACAACCAATTTGAGTATAAAGCCGACCTAGTTCATCTAAATGCGGAATCCAGCTAGCCGTGGTACAACTAATTGGGGTTTTACATCATTCATAGCTTCAGACCATGAAATGATCACTCCCATCAAGGTGTCTCGTGAATTTTAGGAGCAATTAGTGGCCCTCCATACTATGCAAAAACTGGCAGATTGCGGGGTTGCCACAAATATAGGATTTGTGGATTATTAAAATCTACTGTAGAATTTTTTTTTGATATTTTGTTTGAATATTTTCACTTTCCACATTAGATAATTTACTTATACCTCTGGCTCGATTGCATTTTCATTCCGTTTGGACGGCGCTGTGATTTAGTGCGCGGCTCACATAACATAAGGGTGAGAGAGTTCAAATCTCGATCCAAATATGTGAACAACCTTTCAACTCTACATGGCTATAACATGACTTCCACATCGTACAAAGTCAGTACAGTATAGCAGTGGTTAAATTGAGTGTAACATACTTGCCCTTGGAATGTGGAATTTTTAACTATGGCTCACAGCTGTAAACAGATAAGCAATGTTCCACACTCATTCCAGAAGGACCCGTGACGATTTTCTTCAACATTATTGTATCGCTCATGGCAGGGATGCTTCCATGGTTATCAGCCTAGACTTGCTGCCCATAGCTCACCGATTGATTTGATCTCCTAGCGTGGCAGTTGAAACTATGGGCAGGGAAAGTTTCTTAAATTCCCTGTCTCTATCCAGCCAGCAGTATAAATGGGTACAGCGCAATTATTCCATAAGAGGTTGCGTGGGATCGGATAAAATTTAGTTTAGTTTATTTATTTTGGTATAGCCCTGTGAGCCATTCGGCTCTTGAATCGGGTGCAATCACAACAAACACAAAAACACGAACAAGAAAAACATCTTAAAGTGACTATGTGTGACTGTGCAAACAGAAAATCCATGAAAAAAAAACAGCAAAATATTCCTGAAAAAAAGCACCGTACACCAACGCTGTGTTAAAAAATCCCAGTGGGGTGTAAAAAATCCCAAAGTGTGGGTTCTCCCACCTGTACCAAGATGTAATACCCTCTAAAGGGGCTCTCTAGGGCTCCTGCTAGTGGGGACTCTTCTACCAGCAGTGGTGTGAGCAAGCAATTGCAGGGCTACACCTTGGCTCTCATTATTTTCACTTGGTTCATATACTGTGTGTATTAAGAGAGAGTATCTTATCACATTTTACAGCGTTATATTTTGCCTTTTTCCACACAGAGGAGTCCTGGGCCTCAGGTGACAATGGTGAAAGTGATGCTTTAAATGACCCAATTCTCTCCGAGTTGCTGTATGAAAGCAAAGCTGTCTATATCCTGACAACAAAAGAAGGCTACACGACAATTTCTGAGAAAAACTCAGAAGAAGCCAATTCATCGCCACCCCCAACAACTCCGGCCAATCCAGAAATAACATCTGGTAACAAAAACATCCAAAAAAAGTTTATAAATCATTCAAAAGACACACTTCAGGAGCTACTGACAACACAGCCACATGTTTACAAGCACTGTGAGATAGTGATACAATCTTTTCGGAGTGGCTACGGAATTCCAAAAGACCGAAGTATTCCTCCAATATATCTTAAATCGAGGGAAAGCATTGGCTGTTCATTTTCAGGAGATGAGGTTGTCATTGAAATTTTGAGTAAAAATGCTAAAAAGCAAGGTCAAAAAGCTGCCAATGTTGGTGAAAAAAACACCAATTACAGTGGCCGCGTGGTTGGGGTACTTAATCAGGACGTTGAGCGTCACGATAGTGTTGTGTGTGGTGTAGATCTCTATGATGCCAACATTATGATCCCCATTGACAAATGCATGCCCAAGATTTATAACCCACCTATCGACAGAAGGCATAGCCCGAATCGGAATAAGGTCGCCGTGAGAAAAAAGTGTCCTGATGGAAGGTGGTACTTTCATGAACATTTAAAGGATCAAAACAGGAGCAGCAAGCTTTTTCTGGTAAAAATCAAGAAATGGCATAGGAATTTGCCTTACCCACTTGGTATTGTGGTTGATGTCCTGCCTGAGCCAAAAGACGTTCGTGGTCAACTTGAGATGTTTAAAGAAAATAGTTTTTTAAAGAATGCACATCACATTCATTCCATGAATACGTGGGAATATGAACAAGATCATGCAAATAATAATGGCAAAGATTGCCGCAAAATATTCACATTCACTGTGGACCCGCCAGGAGCCAGAGATCTGGATGATGCAATTAGTGTTGAAGACCTTGGAACGTGTTTCAAAATTGGAGTGCACATTGCAGATGTAGTGCAGTTGGTAAGGAAGGACAGTGATGAAGATACATGTGCCCAGGAGCAGGGAAACACATACTATGAGGATGGTAAAAGAACCTTCCATATGCTGCCCGAAGGCCTGTGTGAAGCTTGCAGTCTCCTCCCCGGTCAAGATCGTTCAGCCTTCTCACTTTTCTTCACATTTAAAAAGGATTCCAGCACCACTGAGCAACTTGAAACGTCCTTTGAACAAACAGTCATCCGGTCGAAATGGCAGCTTACATACGACGAGGCCGAAACGATCATCAGTCGCTACGGAGAAATGCCCCTGAAGATAAAGTCATCAGAGGACTACATCGCAGTAGCCTTTTTCTTTTCACGGGTAAGATTAATCAGTGCAGGTATCCCAATTTAATGTCAATTATTACCTGTTAAACGTAATTTTTGCACATAATGAGAAAAGTGTTTATTTTCTCATAGCCAAGTTATGCTATGCACACACTGGGCAAATGTTACGGCTACCTGAGACACGCTAGTGAAACAAACTAATAATGGTTCTATCTTGCTTTGAAGCTTTCGTGACTGCAGGAATCCATACTCTCTGGTTATTTCGGTAAAGTTTGTTTTCTATCTACGTGACTTTACCTAAAGAACCAGAGAGTAATAACGGTTCTGTAAATAAGCCATGATGTCAAACACAGGGTATCAGAGGCTGGCTGCTTGTCTGGTAGAAAATAGATGTTTTTATTTATTTAAAACATATACACAAACATTAATACTTTATACTGTATGTTTTACAGGAAATATGCGATACAGTACAAATATTTATATGTGGGGACACAATGGAACTCTGCTTATAAATTAATTTACCCATGAATATCCACAGCACATATGTTTCTATACCAATATTGCTTTTGAGTTGAACAAGCCTCCATCGCTTATGTGGATTAACGCTGGTAACTTGGCAGCACGTGTTGAACAAGCATGACTTACTGATGAGACCCAGGAGAATTAAACCGGTCCGGTGTTTGCTTGCTTAAACAAATGCTGCTGGATAATATTGGTCGAGAAAGACAATCTGCCAATGTACTAGAACACGATTTATTTACGTAAAGACACTACACAGAGTTCTGCTCGTCTATACTTATACACCCATCGTGCTCAGCAACACTGCATAATGAGTTTGTATTCCATTTTGTGAACAAGTTTATAAATTGGTTAATTACGTCTACATTTTATTCGCACCTTGCATTTCTGTGTGCTTGTTTGGCCATTTGTACGTGATCAAGATGCTGCGTCAGGAGCGACTGCATGCCGGCGCCCTGTACATTCAGCCGGAAGAAAATAGACCCATTGACGGGTGCCGGGGACACATCATGGTTGAGGAGTTCGCGATCACAACCAACCACTTGGTGGCGAAGAGGTTGTTGGAGAATAAAGCCACCGCCGACATTACTCCATTGTGCCACCAGCTTCGACCGGATTCAGATGAGATTAATAACTACTTGGAAGAGTACAAATCGGTCATCCCTTTCTCGCTGAGCCTCACCTCCATCCTCTCTCCAATGCCAACAAAAGGTACCTGAATGACCCTGCCTCTGGTGAAGCAGTATGACGTGAACGTCTGCAGCAATTCAAATTATAACACTGTAAACGTAATAGACTTAATAGGAAAGGTGTCAAGCTACTACAACATCGAAGCACATTTGCAGTAGTAAAGCTTTGTTTAATGAGATAATACGGTAAATACGGTATTGCATAATTGTGTTGTTGAAGCCCAATTTGGACCAAATTACACAGTAGGTCTCAGAAAATGCACGTGACAATCTTTACTTATGCTAGGGTATAAGGCTTCAATAACATTTACCATCGAATATAGAAACCTATTTTAAAGATAATGGTGAATGTGTGCAATGGACAATCAAAGATACAATTTTAGAGAAGGATGAACTTTAAATCCAGTTAAGAGCCCACTGATAATTCTAAGGAAAAGCTGGGTAAAAAATACAGGAACAAAAAATTTCAATTCTGTAAACAAAATAATACACCCATTAGATATGTGAGAAAATTAATAGTAATTACTGAATGTAGTTACTACGTGACGGTTTGTGCTCTCTACCGGGCTTCTACTGGAATATAATAACATTTAAAACATAATACAATTTTAAGTGAAATAGAAAGTGCCCACAATGAAAACTTGCCTCCTAATCAATCTTGGCTCCCCTGTGCTTCATTTCACAAAGGTTTAGCCCATCAAATTTATACTCTTGGCTCACAATGATTGGAAAAATGCCTTTCAAAAGGCTGGTGGGTAAACACATTGTTGTCTCAATTCCCCTGAGGACGGTAGCAAGGTATTAAAGTCAGAATAAGTAAGGCCGAAGGTGGCATTTTCTACTTCTGTAGAACCCAGATGCGCACTTTGTCACAAAGCTAGTTGTATATGGTGGCAGCGGTGTTGGGTGTAATTCAACTGAAGTGGCTGTAAAGCTCACGAAGATTGATACACTTTTAAGTATTATAATTGAAGCCAATGTGTGCATCACATCATAATAATTGACATAAATGTGACAATGATAAGGTGATTAGAAGGGGTCCAAGAAAAATATTGATAAAATATTATACCTGTACAGGTAGTCCCCGACTTACGATGGAGATGCGTTACGACGACCCCATCGTAAGTCAAAAATATCGTAAGTCGAAGATGGTCTAGCCTTCCCAGGAGAAAAAAATACACGCGCTAACACCGAGACAACTTAACTCCGTCGACCGCTGGTGAGAGTGAGACATCACCACACAAGGCGGGAGATGCGTAATTCCCGGCAGTGTCCCAACGTACAGCATCGTTCCTCGTACGCTGCTGCGTTTGCCTGCCGCGCGAAATGTAAAATATTTTACAATTTTGTCGTATCGCTATCGCCATCGTAAGGTCGAAATATCGTAAGTCGGACCATTTGTAACTCGGGGACTATCTGTATATATATTGGAATCAGGAAAAGCCAAAGTATTGAGCCTTTGGGAAAGTTTTGAAACGTATCTGATATGATGTGTTACTAACATTCAATAAAATAAAAATGTGTTTTTAAAGCTATTGGAAATCTGAAGACACCAAGTCATCTGGAGTTCATGCAGTTTATTTGGGAGAAGATGAAGAAAGCAATACAGGATAAGGATTCCTTCAGGCTATTTACACTAATTGCCTTGGATGACATGCATCCTTTTTTGGTGGCTGCAGTGAAGGAATTCCGTAAAATTCAGTTTCGCTCAATGTATATCTGCTCTTCTGCACCATCGACGGATATGGGCCACTACAGCTTACGTCTGCCTTTTTACACAAAATCAACATCGCCCATTCGACGCTACATTGACGTGGTGGTGCAGAGGCTCTTGGCAGCCATATCAATGCATGAAAGACCAGCCTATACGCCTGACGAAATGGAAATCCTCTGTCGTAACTTCAACGACCTGAAGAAGGGAGCTGCAGACTTAGAAAAATTGACCACCAAATTAAAGTTCTCTGAAAAACTTTCAATTCGAGGGTCGCAAAAGCTGGCACTGATTTCCTCAATTGATGAGCAAAGCAAGAACTTTGATTTGGTATTTCCACTCGATAGGATTAACTTGCCTGATTATTACAATGTAAATTTTCAGTCTCTACAGCTGGCCACACAGCCTGTGTTTGACAAAGATGAAAATGGAAGGAAAAATGTCAGCGTCCAGTGGAGAATCCGCATGTACTCAGTAAAATCAGATGCCAACCAAATTCCCCCAATGCCAAAGCATTCCTCGACAGAAGTTTGTAACGTTAGGTTAGAATCTTGGGAAAAAGTTCTGTTGGCTGCTAAGAAAAACAATTTTGAAGAGGCAAGCAGGCTTATCCAGGAAGAGGACGAGTACATGGATAAAATTGGTGCAAGTAAAAGCAGCACAACTCCATTAAAAGACAAGGATTACGTAAGTACTATTCAGTACCACAACAGTTGGTTATATATAATTGAATGTGCCATGGTAGAAAGATGTTAACTACCTCGCTGGGTATACAGGAGGTTGTGGGTTCGATCCCGACCCTGGTGCCTGCTGTATATTTCGAGTTTGCACGTTCTCCCCCATAGTTGCGTGGATTTTTCTCTGGGTCCCCCAGTTTTTCCCTCCACGTTTAGGATGAACTTGCATTTAAGAGTATTTCGCTGTGAGACATTTTCACATAAGCCGCTCGTTGAGCTATCATTTGTGGCTAAGTCGCTTCTAAAAAAAAGCTACATTGCTCAGTGGGCCTTATCTGGTAAAATAGAAAAAAAAGTTTAGTTGAATAGAATGTTGGTAGGAAGGTGGTTCAGTTATTCCTAGACTTTTACATGCAAACCAGAGTTTTAATTCCAGGATCATGACAGCTCACCTTTGCCCCAAGTCTACACTGCATAGCACGTCTCCCATCGATGCCTCAATGTCGAAATGCCTCTCTGCTTGAACCATTTCGGCACACGTCTTCACTTTGTCATCTGCTCGGAATTTTTTGTTCACCAAAGCGCTCCTTCAGAGGGACTAAACAAACGCTTTCTGTGAGCAAAAGTCCAGGAATTACTTGAACAACCCTCTTATTCAAAATACAGACCAATACTTTTTCTACCTTTGTCGTCAGTGTAAATGTACGAGGTACACACAATGCCCTCGTTAATGACGCAGATGTATTGTGTTATGAAGTAGCTTCACATTCTTTTCGTGCTTCATTCCTAGACGTAGATGATACACGGTATCAACAGGACTAAATACTAAATTTCACACCCTTCTTCCACCCAACATAATGGTTAAACTATTAATATATTTTTGTCATTATTCAATCGTTTTCATTTGTATGGTCTTTATTCCTTTTTGTGAATTGTGAAAAGTGATATAGGTGTATATTTTTTAGGTTTGGAGTAGAGTTGGAAGGACTGTCTGAAACACATCCCAAATTTCTCGTATTAAATTAACGATGGTCCATGAAAATAATGTTGAGGGTTGTGCAAATGTCTGCTGGTTTAGAAAAGTTGGGAACCACTGCAACAGAGGCTGCTAATTAACAAACAGACACCACCTTGTTAGCATTTCGATGAACTTCGTGCGATGTTTCTCATAAAGCTCTTATGGTATTCTCCTGAAGATGAAAGAGCATTTCAACATCGGGGACGTTGTTCTGAAGACCGGTACTCCCGTCAGGGTGCAGCTGGGAGTAAGGGTGCAACGCGCATTCCTGTCCCCTACGGTGCAGCTGCTCTCTCTCAATGAGGCCATACCAGATATCTGCCTAGAACATGCGGAAGACCCTGTGTCCACGTACAAATGCCACGCTGAATTCCAAACCAGAGACCGCTACAAAAATGTCAAGGTAGGATCAAAGCTGTGTGTACATATGAAGAGTTGTTCCCCGTTACAAATGGATGAGGACGTTTCCTCATGTGTAGAACACGAGGAAATTAAACTACTCGAGTATGATGCAGATAAGTTAGTATCACTACATGATTTCACATGCGTGAAGAGAACATGAGAATTTGTATTGTCAAAAATCTGCCTCTTTCCGAGGTGTTAAACTTCTTGTGATCGGCTCCCCATGTCACGTGCCCTAAACAAATACCTTACCTCTGAAGTTGCCTCACATTCACATAAGCTAATTCGAATAAGCTAAAGATGACGTTTCCATCAAAACACTTTTCAAAACTGCACAGGGAGTCACATTTGGTCATGTGTGCATGGCTTTAGTTCCGAGCTCTTGGAAGTGACTTGCAGTCACGAAAGCTTTAAATCTAGAATTGACTGTAAAGTCTTTATGAATAACAGAATATTTTAACGTCATCATCAGTCATCATCTTTCGATAATCTATTTCACTCCTGCACCTGAGTTAACCTCACACCCCCACCATCTGCACAGTTGACATCCACTAGAACTTGTTTTATTCCTTTGGTTGTTATTCTGTCACACACTGCACTCATGCACGTTTTAAATGCAGCCCTTTTAATTTCAATTTGCCCAGGTCTCTAATAGCAACGCAACTTTATAGTAAAGTTTAATTCATTTTGAATCACCTTTCTAAGAGCTATCATGGCCACCCCTCGCCCACCATCATGGACTGATGGACAGAGGATAAATCGACAGAGCTAATGCATACATGACTCAGTTGGAAAGCATTTGAAAATGAAGATCGTTGTTTGAATAAACACAGCTATTTTATATTTTCAGAGCTATCAAGAAGTATGGGCACCATTGTCTGCAATGGAATCAGTCACAGTAGCAGTGAATGAACACAGTTCTATAATGCTATGTGGCATGAAGATCCTATGGAGTAGCAATGACGAGAGAGACCATTCAAAGGGAGGGATTCCAACAATGAACAAAGACAAACTGAAAGGAATGTTTGTTCTCAAAAAAGTTTTCTTGGATAAGAACTTCATAAAGTGTGATTTCAGACACTGTTATCTTTGCATTCGTTGCAAGATCAACCCCACCAAGGTCAGTGTCATACATATGCATTATAATCTATCTGTGCAGATATTACACCAACTATATTGTTCCGTGAAATGTTTTCACAGTATATTCCTTTTTATAAATTGTGTGATCGGATGTAATTAATCGAGTTTAGCTTATTTATACTTTCACATTATTTTCACTTCAAAAAGGGTTGTATTTTTATTTCTAATTAAGAGTCTTGAAAGCTTTATTAAAATTATCTATTCCATTACTACTATGACAATTATCTCCAACTTTAAATAAAGTATTTCACTCTCAATACTCTGCCCATAAAACTCATCCACCATTGCCTATCCATTCTGGCATCCTGTATTACTGGCTTGGTAAATGCCTTCATCTCTTACAGTACCGTTCCTGGAGCTCTTGAGACTACAGCTGTTTCTGCCATCCTGAAAACATATAGATTATATCTCAAACATCCCTTTCCAAAGGGTCATCTGTCCAATCACATTTCCCTCCATGGTCGAAATTAAACTGGTTTCCACACTGCTCTCCTGTCTACTGAATTACCTTCTCTCCTAAGACTGTGGATTCCTCTGACTTCCTAGTATTCTTAGAGTTCCCCGATGCTCTTTTCATTGACCACTCCATCCTCATTAAATATCGTGACAACCACATACGCATTTCCAACACACTTCCCTTATTCCAATTCTTACCTCTCAAACCACTTCTACTCTATATCCATGCCAGGATTGACTCCTGTTAGAAACCTCTGTGCTATGACACCCCAGATGGTACCATTCATTACCCTTTCCTCAATATATCTCCTCCCCTTGGAAAAATAGTCTCCGGCTCTCATGTCAATTCTCACTTCCATGCTGCTGACACTCAGTTCTACAGTGAGGGAAAAAAGTATTTGATCCCCTGCTGATTTTGTACGTTTGCCCACTGACAAAGAAATGATCAGTCTATAATTTTAATGGTAGGTTTATTTGAACAGTGAGACAGAATAACAACAACAAAATTCGGAAAAACGCATGTCAAAAATGTTATAAATTGATTTGCATTGTAATGAGGGAAATAAGTATTTGCCCCCTCTCAATCAGAAAGATTTCTGGCTCCCAGGTGTCTTTTATACAGGTAACGAGCTGAGATTAGGAGCACACTCTTAAAGGGAGTGCTCCTAATCTCAGCTTGTTACCTGTATAAAAGACACCTGTCCACAGAAGCAATCAATCAATCAGATTCCAAACTCTCCACCATGGCCAAGACCAAAGAGCTCTCCAAGGATGTCAGGGACTAGATTGTAGACCTACACAAGGCTGGAATGAGCTACAAGACCATTGCCAAGTAGCTTGATGAGAAGGTGACAACAGTTGGTGCGATTATTCGCTAATGGAAGAAACACAAAAGAACTGTCAATCTCCCTTGGCCTGGGGCTCCATGCAAGATCTCACCTCGTGGAGTTGCAATTATCATGAGAACGGTGAGGAATCAGCCCAGAACTACACGGGAGGATCTTGTCAATGATCTCAAGGCAGCTGGGACCATAGTCACCAAGAAAACAATTGATAACACACTACGCCGTGAAGGACTGAAATCCTGCAGCGCCCGCAAGGTCCCCCTGCTCAAGAAAGCACATATACATGCCCGTCTGAAGTTTGCCAATTAACATCTGAATGATTCAGAGGACAACTGGGTGAAAGTGTTGTGGTCAGATGAGACCAAAATGGAGCTCTTTGGCATCAACTCAACTCGCCGTGTTTGGAGGAGGAGGAATGCTGCCTATAACCCCAAGAACACCATCCCCACCGTCAAACATGGAGGTGGAAACATTATGCTTTGGGGGTGTTTTTCTGCTAAGGGGACAGGACAACTTCACTGCATCAAAGGGACGATGGACGGAGCCATATACCGTAAAATCTTGGGTGAGAACCTCCTTCCCTCAGCCAGGGTATTGAAAATGGGTCGTGGATGGGTATTCCAGCATGACAATGACCCAAAGCTCACGGCCAAGGCAACAAAGGAGTGGCTCAAGAAGAAGCACATTAAGGTCCTGGAGTGGCCTAGCCAGTCTCCAGACCTTAATCCCATAGAAAATCTGTGGAGAGAGCTGAAGGTTCGAGTTGCCAAACGTCAGCCTCGAAACCTTAATAACTTGGAGAAGATCTGCAAAGAGGAGTGGGACAAAATCCCTCCTGAGATGTGTGCAAACCTGGTGGCCAACTACAAGAAACGTCTGACCTCTGTGATTGCCAACAAGGGTTTTGCCACCAAGTACTAAGTCATGTTTTGCAGAGGGGTCAAATACTTATTTGCCTCATTAAAATGCAAATCAATTTATAACATTTTTGACACGCGTTTTTCTGGATTTTTTTGTTGTTATTCTGTCTCTCACTGTTCAAATAAACCTACCATTAAAATTATAGACTGATCATTTCTTTGTCAGTGGGCAAACGTACAAAATCAGCAGGGGATCAATTACTTTTTTCCCTCACTGTACATTTCCTTTGCCACAAACAAACCATGATCACATCCTACTTTGATGTGTTCTAATCTTGTTTTTTTAATCAAGATAAATATTAATTTCGAGTTATTATTCTCTTCCCATACATCTCAGCTCGGCAGGACCTCCCACCGCCACCTGTGCGACATTTCCTTCATCCAACGCTTCCCTGCCCCAGCTGCTGCTGAAATCCTTGTGCATGTTTTCATCACCTCATAACTCGACTGCTGCCACTCTTTCCAATACGTTCTCCAAATGTGTCCCCTCCAATCATTAGGTGCGAAAATATCACGATCGGATCCCTCACCCGCACCGGTAAATTTGACCACATAACCCAATACTTTGACATATCTACTGGTTCTTGATCCAATCTGCGATCAACTAACTCAAAGCCCATCCTCAGTGACGTCAGGATCCTCCATAGACCCATCTCTCCACCTCTTTCTGTTCACCTAAATTACACTCCTTCAATGCTCTATACGAAGGCCTTTTAGTGAAGCCCTGAGTTAACTTTTTCTGAGTGGGATATTACTTCTGCTGTCACCACAATATGGCTACCTGCACAGTAGTTTCTTCTGTTCAAGTTCAGGGTCATGACATTAAATTTTCTCCTTTGCCTATGACCAATCCTTTTATTTAAAATCTATGGTCAGTTTTATCCACCATGATGCTTCTTTCATTTATTTTGTATGGCATCTTGATATGCTGTTCCATTTACATTTTTATAAATCTATATTGTTGGAGATTTTAATTGATGACGTGCAGAATTGTGTTTAAATCTTTCTTCAGCGTGCTCAAGATCAGAAACTCACCATAGACAGTGACTGGTACACCTGGGTTTGTCATGCAAAAACGACAGAAGTACACATTCCCAAAGTCAATCATGATGAGACATGTCAAAACATGGATGATACTGAGGTGAAGGTGAAGTTTGTGGAATGCACAAGGTCTATGCAGGAGATTCCGAAGGAGATTTGCAACAAGTATCAGCCTTACATTATTGAACTTATTCCCAAATCCATCACGGATGTGTACGTATAACTTTCACAAACAATGTGTGTTTAAAATGTCCATAGGTTGCAATTGAAAGAGTTTTTTTGGTTAGAGCACGTTAATATATAAATGTGTCATTAAACCTGCCACCACCCAACACAGCCAATTAGTAATTGTTGTCACGTAAACAGAACATGCCAATTCGTTACACCGGTGTGTTAGAGAGCCAAGCCACAACATTTACAATCTGAGTACGACTTTTCACCAGGAATTACAACTAGCTTCATCATAATTACTGGTGAAGCGTCGTACTCAGATTGTAAATGTTGTGGCTTGGCTCCAACACACCGGTGTTCTGTACTAGTGACGAATTGGCATGTTCTGTTTATGTGACAAACTGACTAATTGGCTGTGTCGGGTGGTGGTGGTTTTAACGACACAATTATATATTTATGCGATCTAACCCAAAAAAAAACTATATTACGGATGATATTGGTCGCGAAAGCCTACGTGTTAAACTGAGTTATATTACTTTACGTTTATTCTATGACAAGTGAATTTTGTTTAATGGTCACAATAAACTTAGATTATTATGTGGATATACAAATAGAAATACTGCATACTAGAATGAAAGAATGTTGGTACCTTAAGTTGATATTAGTTCGTCTTCTCCACACCAGGCGGAAAGAGAAGGCAATTCAAGCGCTGTATGACGCTCCCCTTGCTAAGGATATTGCCCTTGGCTATGATGATATAGCTCGAAGTAGGTTTACCAAAACGTACACATTCTTCACATCTTTTTTGTGACTGGACTGCAGCGTGTTTCTATGTACATTTTAAAACTTTATTCTATTTTCCATGTAACTTTCTTGCTGAAAAGTTCTCGCACATCGGTTTATAATATACGACCACTTCATTATATGTCTATACTGCCCAAAGAGTCGTTATTTATGCCTTCAAGAGCTAATGTCCTATGCGGCTGTTCAGAAAGTGCACAATCATAGCTCAAAGCCTTACTAAATGTGCAATTCTCTTTAACTTTCCTAGAACACCGACATCGAGTTACAGAGAAAAAAGACTTCAACATTCCAGGCTTTCAACTAAATATCATGCAGACGACGGTTATAAAACAATCTCTCACGTCTGCATTCACGGTCATCCAAGGCCCTCCAGGTTCGTAGTGAACATGTATCGACACAAATGTGTTTGTGGATTTTGGGTGGATTTTTAAGTTAAATCAAAAGTCGTGGGACCAGTATTCAATTATATGCACTCCTATCCAATTGTAATGAGGAATCTTGATTTGAAGCTTTCGTGACTGCAGGAATCCATACTCTTTGGTTTTTTCGGTAAAGTCACATAGGTAGAAATATTATTATTTTTTTACCTACGTGACCTTACCGAAAGAAACAAAGAGTATAATGGGAAAGTTAGGATTTAAAAAAATCAATCGATGCTTGTAATATTTGAGTACTTGTTTTCGAGAGGACTTTATTTCACTCACGAGTAAAGAGCTGGGAGTATAGAACTATTAAAGTACAACATTCCCTTAGCTCCTATTCACAACCGTGTCAATGATGTTTCACTTGAAGTATTTTATGCAAATTCACACAGGTGTATTTGTTTTTCATAATAAAGGTTTTCACACCTGATGATGATGATTGCTTGTGTTGCATTCGAAACGTCGTGATAATTTTATTGTTTTATATTTTTATTATTTAATTGTTTCCCTTCTACGTGACTTTACCGAAAGAACCAAGAATATGAATCCCTGCAGTCACGAAAGCTTTAAGTCAAAATTTAAAGGTTTTTGGGTTAGATCTCGTTATTATAAATGTTGCAACCCTCCACCACCAGACACGGCCAATCAGTGAAAATGTGTCACGTTAACAAAACGCCAATTAGTTACTTATTTAGCCCACCGATGTGTTTGAAGAGTGAATCCACAACATTTAAAATTTGAGTAAGACGTTTCGCTGGTAATTACATCCAGCATCTTCGGGCAATTTTCCAGAATAGTGAAGCCATCCACCTGCTTCCGGTCTTAAAGAGTGCAGCAGGACAACGTCATTGTTGTTGAACTTCATCAGGTTTCGAGATCAGAGGCAGAGGTATTGTAATTATATAATAGATTAGTAATCAGTTAATTAGTCTGTGATTCCTCTATAAGGAATTATAATATGTATTGTGTATTACTTAATAATACGCTTCCAAGCTGCGCTAAGTCTGTAGCTATCAGAGCGGTTAAAATTATTGGTATTTCTCTCAATTTCGATGGATTCTCTCATTAGTCTTGGCGAAACGTCGTACTCAAATTCTAAATGTTGTGGATTCACTCTTTGAACATACCGGTTATAATGGCTTTGGTAGCGGCATGGGTCACAAACTATTTACAGGTAACATACGAATTGAATTATAGATTTTCGCATGCACGATTCGATGCATGCATTGGAAGCATGATAATCAGTTTGAATGGGATGAATTCGTTGATCGTTGGACACATAGTTTTTTGTGTATTTTGTATCGTCTAACAAATATGAGCACTGTCCCAAATGCTCCTTTGAGCATATATGCCTTTTTGACTTCCTGATTAATGTTCTCCATGGACCAACAGGCACTGGAAAAACTGTTGTGGGGATCCACTTGGTCAAATGGTTCCATGAAGTCATCAAAACACTGCGAGAGAACTTGCAAGCTGATGCCAAGCATATCTGCAGCCTTTATTGTGGACCTTCAAACAAATCTGTGGATGTAGTGGCAGGTGGGTTATCAGTACCAAGGATTGCATTTCTCAGAAAACGAAATCTACACTATGAACCAATTAGAATAAATATGGGATTTTAATATAACGTAATAGTAATGTACAGGTACGGGCGGCGCAGTGATCACACTCACACCTCACTGCAGGGAGGGGCCTGCGTTCCCCAACTAGGGCACCTTTCTGTGTGGAGTTTGGGTTTCTCCCCCTGGTCATCATGGGTTTTCTCCAGGATCTCCAGTTTCCTCCCATCGCAGTAAAAACACATACAATGTAACTGGTATTGGCTAGACACCCCAATGTTTAAAATCTACCAGCCAATTACGCAATTGGAACTAAACATAGCAACAAGCCACTACTGCGAAAAAAAACTTTTTGGCAGGACATTCTTGGCGAGATGTTAACTGCCTCGCCTGGTATACAGGAGGCTGTGGGTTCGATCCCGACTCTGACGCCTGTTTATTTGGAGTTTGCATGTTTTTTTCCCATGGATGCGTGAATTTTCGTCCGGGTACTCGGGTTTTTCCCTCCACATTAAGAAAATGCTTTTAGAGTATTTGGCTGCTATAAATGTCCGCATGATAAGTCACTTCGTTTAGCTATCGTTTGTGGCCAGGTCCCTTTTGAAAAATGAATATATAGCTCAGTAGGCCTTACCCGGAAAGAAAATTAGTTTTGTTTTAAAGTTTAAATAGTTCAAAAGTGTCTGAAGAGTCTCAGCCTTTCCTAGTAAAAAGCGCAACAAAATTAAATGTAAAAACAACATTTTAACTTGTAAGCTTTTCCTTGTAATCCAACTGTGGTTTTCTGAGTTGGTTTACATGTTGAGCATTTCTTCTCTCGATATTTCACCGTGCATTGCTGTGCGCACGGCGACAACTTGCGAGAATAATTTTTGAATGTGCAGCTCAGCCGAGAAAACCGCACTTTGATTACCGTCCTTTGTCACCCACTGACATACAAATTTAGCATAAATTAGAATGTTGGCCAAAAGTGACACGCATTTCGTGAAAAGATATAGTGTGCGAGAGTTTGTGTGATTAATTGAAACATACGTTGCATCTGATTATGAAATGCAACTGACATTATTAACAGAAAAATAGTAATGGAGGTGATGTCGACTATTTCAGAGCATTTGGTCAAAATCGAAGACTTAAAGCCTCTAAGAGTGTATGGTCAACAGACAGAGGAAGAAGAATTCCCAATTCCAGGGGAAACTGATGTGATTTTTCTAAGGAGCAAGAAAGTACCAAGAGTCAACCTGACTATCAAGTACTTTACATCAAGTGCATCACATGTTTTTATTAACGCACCTGCTGACACCCTTTATTTACAGATACTGTATGATACTATGTTTAAAGTTTAATCATAAAATATGCTTCCACCCATGTTAACATATCACCCATATTCTCACGAAAAATGCGAGGGTATCCCTGCCAGACTCATTAAAATCAAACCATTTCAGGAATTCTGATACAACATGGGACCTCCTTTGCCAGTACCAAAATATGAGAATAGGTTTTCCTCTTTTTTCTGGTAACAAAACAGGTGTTAAGATGTTCAAACACCAAACTGAAACCTTTTAACAAGGAATCATGTCTGCATTAACCACAATACTTGTGGTCAGAATGCAAACAAAAAACATACTCTGATAATATATGCATTGTCTTTGAAACTGATTGGTCCACACCAGAGACAGCTTTCTTTCGATCCTAGTCTCAAACGGTGTTAGACCAGAGGCTCGAAAGAAAGCTGTCTCTGGTGTGGACCAATCAGTTTCAAAGACAATGCATATATTATCAGAGCATGTTTTTTGTTTGCATTCTGACCACACGCATTGTGGTTATTGCAGACATGATTCCTTGTAAAAGGTTTTAGTTTGGTGTTTTAATATCTTAACACCTGTTTTGTTGCCAAAAAAGGGGAAAACCTTATTTTCAATTCTGATACAAATTGGTGTCACGAATCGGAATGCTTCTATAGATTAATATGGCAGCATTTAAAATGTTTTTTATTAGTTCGATTTATAATTGAGGTGTGCACAACCTAGGTAGCACACTGAACAATTCATGTATTTCAATTGCATTTTTTGAATCAAAAGCAACAAAATGGATTCCAAATCCCAAGTATATTGTACTAGACTAAGGCCTCCTATGTCTGCGTATTCCTTATGTAAATATCTCTCTACTCAAGCCTTCAACTGCTCTTTAAGAAATGTTATGCTCTCCATTTCAGATCCATCACATTGCATTACAAAATCAGGGAGGATACCAACCCGTATGCACAACAAATACGTAAATATGATGAAAGGATTAGGATTTTGAAAATTAAGAAAGAAGAAAAAGAAAAACGTGAAAGGGCTGAAAAGGAAAAACTTGAAGCTACTGAACAGTAAGACTCTTATACTTTAAAATGTTCGGAACATGTATAGGTCATGACATATGTTCATAATTTGTTGTCTAAACATCTGCTGTAGCAGAGGAATGAGTTTTCTTTTGGTGCAACTGGGAAAGAGCACAAGTTATGGGATTGAATTAAATATTATGGGAAACTAAAACAGTTGCAGTGTCTCACATTTTCCCAACGTGGCCCATTCTTGTACACGATGTCACTACATATTTAACATTCATCATCATGATGATCCATCCAGCACTGGATGAAGGCCTTCCTGTCATCACCATCCTTCATGGTCTCACGATGCAACATATCTCATTCCTGCAGATCAACTAATCGCATTGAATCAGAATCTTTATTTATACTGGTTGAATCCAATCAGCTATAAAGCTCTTTTTCACAGGTGTCCATTTCCACGGTGATCATCCTCTCAGGCTGGTACTCCATTTCCAGTCTCTACCATTGGCAATCGTCCCTTCTAGCGGTGTCCTGGCCAAAACTCACTCTTCTGAATAATCCATTTTGTCTAAAATTCGCATTTCTCTCTCCAAACAATGTGTTTAATCTCCTGTCTTTGTGTAATTATATGTACTCGCCTCTCCATTCTTTTCACAGTCTTCAGCTTTTGCTCCATGATATTTCTTAATGTCCACGTTTCTGATCTAAAATGGGTTATATATACTTGATTAAAAACGGTCTGGCACACTGCTCTGTTGGTTTTCATTAAAATGTACATACAATAAAAGTAACAATACGAGTAACAACATAAAAAGATCGATGATTGTGATTATTGAGGTATGTAATGTACAATGACGCCACACATGACATCATTGGGAGTGGAGGGGGAAAGAAGGCACACACATCATGGCAAGAAAAGCGAATCCATCTAGCACTGGTTTTCGTCACTATGTTTGGCCACCCTTTATCAATTTTGCTGGTTTTCCATTGGCTAAGTCCCTTATGACAGCACAACTTTATACTCACATTTGATTCACCTTTACGAGCGTTATTATGCCCTGTTACAGATGGACAAAGTAGATGCATGAACACTCTCGAATTCAGCTGCAATACACCAAAACACCAATATTCCAGAAGCTACAAAGTGGACTGTAATCACAAACTTTCCTTAAGTAGATAAAAAATATATATTTGTTTATCTTTGCTCACTGCCTAATCTATCAACCATGTTTCAGCATATAATACAATTACTTTCTTATCCATTTAAAGCTTTCGTGACTGCAGGGATTCATATTCTTGTTTCTTTCGGTATAGTCACGTAGAAGAGAAACAATAAAATAATAAAAATATATATTGTTTCCCTTCTACGTGACTTTACCGAAAGAACCAAGAATATACTTTCTTGTCCTCAATTCAGATCAATGCAATCCAAGAACTGTGAAGATTCTCACCCAAGTGTGGCACAATTGGATGAATTTTATTCTCCTGATGGACAAACTGAAGAAGTAAAAGACCTTACACTTGAAGAAATTATAGAGTAAGTTGTTTATCTGTACATATTATCTGACATTTTCATGTGACTTGATGCCCTCAATGGTGATTCAAAAGGTTTCGAACATAGTAGCTTTGATTTATGGGAGTCCACAAGTTAAAATACTTAAATGAACGTTGCATGCGACATCTACGGAAAAAAAATCCCTCAACATTTTCCAGTTATTGCTTTTTTTTTCTTCCAGTGAACGTTGTTCATGAGTCTTTCACGTGCGTGTACATTTTGTCCTGTACCATGTAGATATAAAAAACTCATAAAAGATGCAAAGGTAATTGAGCTGAAGAAGAGCGACGTCGTTATAACCACGTGCTCAACCGCGGCGACGGTCATTCTCCTCAAGAACCTGGATCCTCGCGTGTGCCTCGTAGACGAGTGTGCCATGTGCACGGAGCCGGAATGCCTCATCCCTCTCACCAGCTACAAAGACATCGCTCAGGTTTGTCAGCACACCGTAAACGACACAAAGGCTTGGTCAGTCAATCTGGGCACAACATCGGCTGATGTGCATTTTATTTGTATTTGTTTATGCGATTGCGTGTATTAAATAATAATAATGAATAGTAGATATCTGTGTGTTGAACTTCTTTCGCACCGTACTTAGCCAACTGTGATAATCGGAGGTGTGGAAAATAAATACTTGTTAGGGGTCTTGCATTAGGATGTTTGACCAATTCAATGTAGTGTTTTGACTCATTAATGACCAAGTAAATCAGAGAGGGGCTACGTAGCAGGCAGTATAGGGCCTCGCAGAAAAATGTCGTGTTGTACTATACTTCACATCCCCCATCTATTGCTTCCAGCCTTCAACTTGAAATGACCAGGGTGGTGAAGTATGGTCCAATAACCCCCATGACGTGCATGGTTTGGGGAGGCCCTCATCCAACATTGGATTCACAAAGGGCTGTACATGTTAATATCACAGGGGTATCTTTGCACATCAATTTACCCAAATGCAGGAGCTATTTTTTCAAAGATACCTTTTTTGTTGACTCTCGTATCTGCATTCCTTTAGGTTGTCCTGCTGGGAGACCACAAGCAACTGCGCCCTTTTGTGCTAAACCGGACGGCAGCCAAACTGGGAATGGAAAAGTCTATGTTTGAGCGCTACGCAAAGCGGGCCATTATGCTCGACACACAGTATCGGATGGTGAGTCCTAGACATGTCCATTCTGGTATAGAAAGACAAGGCTATGGACATGTGTACATTGTTTTCACTAACACTGCGTAGCTGTAATTAAAACATATCTTCGTGTTAAGGTTACACGGTTAAATTACACTGTATTTTCCCCCTCTTTTTAAGTGATATTACCAGTGTTGTATATACGTATGCAGACAGTTTGAAACATGAATGACTCGTACCTGTTTCTTCGATTTATAGCATCCAGATATCTGTGAATTTCCAGCAAAGCAGTTTTACAGTGAGACCAACAAAACTCTTAAAACTGCAAAGGAGGTTTTTGGTCGACCTAATAGCATCCTAGGATATGCTCATAAACCCAGCTGCCCAACCCTGTTTGGTCATGTTGTTGGAAAAGAAGTGACACTGGTGGTGTCTACGGAAGAAGGCAGCGAGAACTCCAAGGCCAACAAAGCGGAGGTTGAACAAGTGGTGAGCAGAGAAGTATACACCAAGCATGGTCTAATATGCCAACCTGGTGCAACGTTCGCCGGCTATATTTTCCCCGGTGCGGCAGTCGAAGTCACTTGCCTAGCACCACAGCCGATTTGGGAAGGTTGCGTGTGGTGTGGTAAAGTGTGGGTAAATCCCACCTCTCTCAAGACATTGAGACAACATGAAAGGGTCGGCCAAATAGCCTTTCAATGGCCTCTCTCGAGGTCCCACTCACAAAGCCCCCCCTCTTCCAGCAGTAGCATCAGCAAGCACTCGTAAGGATGCACCTTTGCATATAACACTAGTGTAAATACATAGATGATTGCATTTTTAGTGTTTAACAGTATATGTTACATTAGCAGTACTCATTATTTCCAAATTGGTGAGGGTGATTGACTTGGAAATGTTAAACTATAATCCTGGAATAGCCTTCTCTGGCATTATATGCTAATTATCTTCAGCAAATGACTTTTTGAAAGATCCCCTTTGTATTCTCTACAGGTTCGTCTCGTAAGTGAATTGATCAAAAAAGGCTCCATTGCAGAGAAGGACATAGCAATCTTGACTCCATACAATGCACAAGCGAATGAAATTCAAAAAGCTCTGGAAAAAGAACACATCAAGAAAGTTACTGCAACCACCATTACGAAGAGCCAGGGTAAGCACATGTCCTCTGTTTTATAATGTATAATGTTTTCATGTATTATGGATGTTTTCCTGTGTTACACGCACTACATTAGCACAGTGCATATATGTATCGATACCTGCACTATATTAAAACATTAGTTTGGCATACACCGCCCTTAAAATTATTATACCAATACTGATGCCACCATAGATTTGTCTTGGTATCTATCACACATGACATACATATATTGCATAAACTTTTATTTATACCACAACTGACATTCTTTATTTTAAAAAGACAGAAAACTACAGAGGTATAATCAAATCAGCGCTCTCCAAATTAAGCCTCTTCTGAAGTGTCCATGTGCGGTGAACCTTCGTTCACTGCCCTGCAAATATCTAGCAATTAAACGACCACAAAAAAGCCGAAGATGTGGCCATCACCCTCATTGAATGAGCTGAAAACATATCTAGTGTTGGTAAATCCTTAATTTCATACCAGGAATCCATGTTCCTTCACAAAAGAGGATCACCTCTCTTACCTTAAAGGCTTAATATTTTACCAAGAAATGAATTATTCCTTGAAAAGCTCCTAGCAAATGAAAGAAAAACCTGAGACATTGTACCAAACAACACGTATATCCCAGACTGAATGGTCACCCCATTTTCAACAAGTACTATTGGGGGTTACGCAAACAGAATTCCCTACCATTATCTCTTTTCCAAAATTCGTATAACCTTGCTCAGTTCAAGAAAAGTATTCACTCTTTAGCTGTTACAATTTCAAGAGCACTGTTTATTGCTGGCTGCTTGGTATTTTGGACCTATGTGCTTGTGCTCAGAAACCGTAATGTATACCTCTTGACAGTCCCTCCCTGCCAGCCACACTGAGGTGGCCAGGTGTTCCAGGGCATAACACGTGGAAATGTCCATGGCATATCCCGTTCGAATAACCCAGAGGGCGCACTTGCCCACTGGAAGAAGAGGGAGGGGGGCAGCTATGAGAAAAGTGACTCCACAATACTGTCAAATTATAGCCGGGAAGGAAGCAAGTATGGAGCAAATTTGGAGATGGCAGATGGAGCAGCTGCAACGGTCCTAGAGAGGTTTCTGCCAGTGTATTCACAGTTAGTTCTGGGTTATACTGAGTCGGCCTTGCAGTGTTGAATAAACACCAGTTTATTCGGTCTGCGTGAGAAATATAAGCACAATGTACGGTGTCGTCTAGTTTGTGTACTATGGCTGAATGTTTTACTTGCAGAGATTTGTGTTTGTGCCAAATGCTCGAAAATGATCTTTGTGCATCCACTATTGTTGCCCATATCGCAGGAAGTGAATGGCGCTACGTTCTGCTATCAACGGTTCGTTCTTGTTCTCTTGACGAATTTAAAGCCAATCCATCAAGGGGCTGGCAAATAAGTAGGCTGGGATTCATCATCGACGAAAACCAAGTCAACGTGGCATTAACCCGAGCAAAGGAAGGGCTCTGCATTATAGGTAAAATGTTTCCTTACATAACACAAGATTTTAAGCATTCTGCTTAAAGTGCACTATAACATAATCATGGGGGATCTTCTTAAGTTAATAATTGAAAGTCCAGGTATATATTTTCCAAAATTTAATGGGATTCATCTCCATTGGCAGTCCTAATTCAGTGGCAGAAATTCCACATTCGTACGGCACGGACCAGTCTCGATAGCAAAGCACTGTAAAAGTTAAATTAAGGTCTTGAGCTTATTAATAAGTGTAACATCCTTGGCCTATGACCAAATCATTTACCAAGCACCCGATCTCGTGAGGTCTCGGAAATTAAGCGGGTTGAGCCTCGAGAGTGCTTGGATGGGTGACCACCATCCACAAAGAGGTTGTCATAGACTGCTGCTAGAGCTCAGAGATGAGCAGCAGAGGGTAGTGCAGCAAAATCCATGACTACATTCCCACTTGGCCCTTGCATTTACCAACCCATACTCCCGTGAAGGAAAAAGTCACCGCCATGACCCATATGGTGTAGCGACGCCCTCGTCCTGAGGTTATGGATGAAAGGTGGATATGTACAATTCACTTTGTGCATCTATTCGATGAGGAATACAGGTGAAACTGCACATGACCAAAGACATGCATAATTCAGTAGCATTTACCTAAAAGTAAAATGCTGCCGTTGCAATCCAAGGTTACTAGTTGGGTGGCCAGTTAGGTTCACCCCCCCCCCCATCTCATCTACCCAGCAGTAGAAATGCCACAGCGGTGAAGCACTCCTGTAATCCAGCACTGTCGAGACAAATCTTGCGAAACTCCCTTCCCGTGGGCATCTAGGTACTATTCCCTGGCTTTCCAGAAGGCAGTTTCACCATGGGATAGTGTTTCCCCTTCATACGTGTGGGCTTTCTCAGGGTGCTCCTCTTTCCTCTCGCACTCAATAATTGGCTGCTAACACCTTAATATATTGAGAAACAAAAGGGCTTTGGCATTTGTAGGTGACTCACCGCGTGGCTGCCTTCTCACTTGACTGTGGTTCCTCACGCCTCCAAGTCAATCTCTTCGAGAGTGAGTGAATACTGTGTGCGTTACGAGTTGACATTTAATAGGTAAGCCGGAACTAGTCAATCGGCAGATCGCATGTGATGAGTTAAATGGTTGGTATTCCCACCTTTTCCAGGTCAACTCGCCAGGGTAAATGAGTAGGCCACATACCCCCAGGAGGGGTTTTATAAAGATCCCCCTCGTGGAGGGCTTTTTGCTAGTACTGGCATGAGCAAGGTATTGCAGGGCTGTAACGTCATCTAATCTAAAAATAAACATAGCAGCACTGGATAACGGTTCCATCCGATGCTTGCTTTTCTTTTTCAGGAAATCAAGATCTGTTGATGTGCAGCGATTTGTGGAAGGAGCTCATTGAAAGTTACCATGAAAAGGATTGCCTTGGTAATGCGGATAAAATCATTGTGAGCTCAGCTAAATAACAGGACCACACGTTGATTCTCATAATGGAATTATACTTTTTTTTAAACATTAATCCAAAAAACACGTATACATTACAATGTATATTTTAATTCTAGATTTGAAGCTTTCGTGACTGCAAGGATTCATACGCTTTGGTTCTATTCGGTAAAGTCACGTAGGTAAAACAAATTTAAATAAATTTAAATAAAATGAAAGAAACAGATTTGAAACACGGCAGAACGAATTCTTCTGCTGTGGCTGATCATTGTTACAACGCTATGGGTGACCATGAGATTGTCTTCTCCGATACCAAGGTTCTTTGTAAACCTACAGGTTATCACCAAAGATTTGTCCACGAAGCCATTCAGATATACAAACACAGGCATAACTTCAACCGAGAGGATGGTTTCAAATTAAGCAAACACTGGAAAGACGTTTTAAATCATACCAAACGTTAACTAATTTCTAACAGCAACTTCAAGCAGTGGTATACCAAACATTCTTTCCGAACCTTTCTATTTCCTTTTTTCTACTGCCCCCGTACAGCACATCCTCAACGATCTTCTTCATTTTGTTTTTCCCGTTTATACTGCACACACACAGTGACCCATCTACACAACAAAAGACAGATTAACTCAGCTCCGCACTCCACTAAAGTCCCCTACATGGCCCCTCCCTAAAACCCCCCCCCTAGTATTTAAGCTCGAGGTTCCCAGAGCCTCAGAAAGACGTTTTAAATCATACCAAACGTTAAATAATTTCTAACAGCAATTTCAAGCAGTGGAGCAGTGGTATACCAAACATTTTTTTTCCGAACTTTTCTATTTCCCTTTTTTCTACTGCCCCCGTACAGCACAACCTCGACGATCTTCTTTAATTTTCTTCTACTTTTTTCCCGTTTATATTGCACACACACAGTGACCCATCTACACAACAAAAGACGGATTAACTCAGCTCCGCACTCCACTAAAGTCCCCTACATGGCCCCTCCCACACCCCCCCACCTCAACCTGTATTTAAGCTCGAGGTTCCCAGAACCTCACCGCTTGGTCCAGCGATTTTGCTGTGACTGGTCCCACCTGAAGACGGAAGCTTGCTTTGCCTCCGAAACGTCGTGTTTTAATTGTTTCTTTCATTTTATTTCAATTTATTTTAATTAGTTTTACCTACGTGACTTTACCGAATAGAACCAAAGAGAATGTATATTTTATTCGATGTAAACTATGAATAACTGAACCAGCAGAAAACACATTAGCAACTTACCTAACCAGTAGGTATAATATGTATACTGTACTACATTTTTTAAAATGAAACCGCTTTCTTTGTGTGTTTGCATTTTCATACATTTTATTTTAAAGTACGTGAAAAAACCTCAACTTGCAGTAATCCTAAATTCAATTATAATTGATTTAATAAAAAATCCTAATCATGTTTGCAACAAAAACATACACTGTGCTTCCTAATTATGTTTTTGATAACCTCAAAATATATATATAATTTCCTATTTAAAGTAATAAATAGTTATTTATAGCACTTTGTTAATCCACTCCTAGATGATGGCCTCCTCACGCTAGGGCTATCATGTATCAACTTTTCGTTGCCATGTGCAGACATATTGCACAGATAACAATATGATCTATGGATCAATTCAGGGAACATATAAAGGGCAGATAAGAGATAAGAGGAGAGTGTATAACAGGAACTTCCCTTGATGTATTATAGCGGCTGCTATAGTTTTTGGTCATTCACCAGATCTACGGACTGAATATGGAGCTTTAAAAATGTGATAGTCGCCATCAAGTGACACAAGTATTTACATAAACTAATAATACAAGCAAGTTTTATAGCATATCGCTTGTGCAATTATGATATAAAATCGGTGCAATTATACTGCAAGATTGAATTCCTCTACAATCTGCAGGATTAAACAATTATTTTGATATTTGTAAAATCGCGTTTTATTATATTACAGTTATTCATAGTTTTTCAAATTACATGTAATTATCAGGTAGAGCTTTGTTTATTGGTCTAGTGATTAAAATGTTTATACCATAGCCGTTTGAATGTTTGTATGAGTGTCTATAAGATTTTCTGTTCCATGCACAAGTGACTTCAATACACATATAGTAGTACATCTTAGCAATTTGCTCCTTGGCACCAAATCGCAACATTCCGAGTATCCCTGCACATATCAGTTACGTAAACATTGAAACATGCCTTTAAGATTAGAGGTGGCATGTTTAAACTGTATTGTTTATTTGAAACAAACCTCTTATGGTCAAGTTCACTTCATCAGGGAACAAAGTAACAGATGATTTAATGACATGAAATACAATTTTACACTTTGAAATGCAATTTGTTACATAGTTTAAATAAGCTTTTTAACCAAATGTAAACAAAAAATTGTGTGTTTTAAAGCCCATGAAAGTGCTGGTTTTACATTGATTAAAAAAATGGATGCTGCCATATTCTATGAATTGTTATACTTTTTTTTTATTCTACATCACACGTCTGTGGGACCAGAATTCCATTTTCTGGTCTTCCTTGACCCAAGGGTTGGCCGTGAGATGGACTCTACTACGTCACAGGGCTCTGTGTTCAGCAGTTCTTGCGCGTTTTCCCATACTGAGCCTTGTCCAAAGCAGTTACATCATCAATCCACGTTCTTCTGGTCGGCCTCACTTTCTTGGGGGACTGAACCTTGAACAATCATCTTCTCCGGGCAGTCTCCAGGGTTTCCACAGGACGTGTCCCAGAAACACCATCTTCTTAATCTACTCACGAAATACACTTTGGTTGCCTGTATAATCGAGGATTGACTTTTTTGTCTGGTGGGCTGTCCAGGAGATTATTAGAATGCGGCAGAGTCCATTCATCTCCCAGGCCTTCTTCCTCCTTTCTTGACCTATTCTAGATTGGTGTGCTGTCCTCTAATTTTGGAATGAAGATCAAACACTTGCCTTTACTAAATAAATGCAGGTCTCTTCAATGATGATACATGACAACTAATTGTCAAATTGTTTTAGTCAAAATCACCATGTCACTTCTATGCATTTCTAAAGCATTTCTCATATATTAATATCCAATGTCAGAAATATGGTCCATGTTATTATATACTTATAGAAATATGCCTATCTTCAATACCAAATCAATTCAACCTGTAGAAAGAAGGGCCTTGAGTTCAGAATCTTCTTTCAATAGATCGCAGGCCTTCCTGCACTTGTTATCAACAATGTCCTTCAAATCAGGTTGCTGTTGGACTAGCAATTTACAGACTGATAAATGCCCTCCCTCTGCCACCTGGAAAAGCAGATTTTAGTTTGAGATTTTTATATTGCTAGTATACATTTTATTTAAAAAATATATATAAAATAAAAATTGCACAGCAAGCACCTCCTCAATGCTACACAACACCTGGCATAATTAAGTAAGTTTCTACAGACATGAGAGTGAGTGAATAAAAATAAAATACTTCTGCTGATGATTTAACTATAACTGTGTGACTAGCAGAGCTTTGTGACGTACATTGTAAATATAAAAATGACACACAAAAAAATCTCAAAAGGCCAACAGAGAATTCACAATTTAAAATCTTATTTGGCCATTGCTTTATCTTCTTAGATTTAAGTAAAACAATCATAAACATCACAAAATAGTATAAATTTGAAATAAAATCGAATGCTACATCTTATTGCTAAGATTACAAAAAAAACCTGTTGCAACTGTTCAAGTACTTAGCAGAAACGACAGGCTTACTTTGTGAAGCGCAGTCATTCCATCGCTGTCACGAAGTCTGCAGTCAGCTCCGTGCTTGAACAAAAGTGACACAATGGTACCGTGGCCACAGTACGCCGCTCGGCTCAGTGCAGTGGCTCCCCCCGGCGTCTGCGCGTTCACGAGTGCCCCATGGGACAGCAGCGCCCGGCAGACTGCCTCATGCCCATTCCGGCTGGCGTAGTGCTGCCACACACAATAGAGGACTCTTGTTCACAATAGAGGCTGGTATTAACGTTGTTTACCAGCAGATCATACTTCTGACCAGCATAGACGAGTAGGTCAAACGCCCTGTTACGAGGGGCTCTCTGGAGCTCCCGCTACTAGAGGCCCTTTTGCCAGCAGTGATCCATAGCTGTCAACCCATACGGTTTACCCGTATTCTTGTGTAGGGAAATTTAGTTTTCAGGTCCATACGCCGTACAGCCGTTTCAATACGGGCAAACACATTTTTTGTCTGCGTTTCTCCCTCGCGATGGGACTTTGTAGGATGACCGTTGAGATTTATAAAGGCCACGGGGTGACCAATAAGGTCTGAATTGGTCTGTAATAAGGTAGGGCACTGATAAGAGGTTGACAGGTATGGTGATCTGAGCAAGAAATTGCAGGGTTACACCTATACTCTCTGCAACCTTCATTCTTCACGTTCTTTTAAAAGCAGACCAAGCAATCATCGTGCAAGAGTTCCAAATGTGCTCTCCTCGAACCAAATAGCCAATGTGGCCTACTCACTTTAACAAAAATACAAATTAGCATTACAATATATCATCTTATATTTGGATTGGAGGTACCACCTGTTAATAAAATGTAAACGCATTGAAAAAATCTAATTGTTTTACAGTTGCATTTGTAGAAACTAAACGACTGAATTATATTGTTTCTATTACGACAATTGGCCTCAAATAGCCATTTATATATTTTGAAACTCAAATTTAATTTCTAGCAATGTTACTCAAGTGTTAATACATACGAGCCTCTAGAATTATACTCAAATATATGTTTACATATGTCAGAATTCGTAACAAGTAAATAAAAAATGCTTACTAGTGCAGTGTAGCCAGAAGCATCAGTCTTGTTTGGATCAGTCCCCTTCTTCAGTTGAGACACCACTCTATCGAGGTCCCCTTCACCAGCTGCTGACCAGATTCCTGCATGCAGCCAGTTTGAACACATTCTATCATGCTTCCACAGAAACACAGTTTCTGCAGACATTTGGGTTACACATAATTTAGATGGATATGGTGTCTAAATACAACAACAAACCTCAAGATGCTGTGCAAAACAGTCGGTCATGTGCTTCCTTGGGATGATTAGTTTCATAGAATGAGACAGTCATAGGTATAGGACACAAATGACCTCAAACTGCAACAGGGGCAGGGAGGTGGCAGCAATGGGTAGCAGGAGAAAGGGGACAACAAAGGAGAAAGAGGTGTCCCACTCAGCTAAGGTTGACTGGGGGCTTCAATAAAAGCCTTGCGTACTGGAGTAAAGAGTGTTTCAGGAGGAGTAAAGTGAGATGAGAAGTTAGCATAAAGAAACTAATCGAAGATGGAACACTAGCAACACAGAATTTGAGAGTGGATCATGAATTTGAGTTCATGAAGTCAATGCTAATAGAGTTGTGTGTGATCAGGTATGAATTGACGGTCAACTTGCAAAAATTGACTTGCCTTATGAATCAATTAATGTTCACGCTTCGGAGTCACAATTGATGAATAAAATATTTTGACATTGTAAATGTATTTTGATGTAAAGCTTTCGTGACTGCAGTGATTCATATTCTTGGTTCTTTCGGTAAAGTCACGTTGAAGGGAAACAATAGCATTTTATTGTTTTATATATATTTTATTATTTTATTGTTCCCCTTCAACGTGACTTTACCGAAAGAACCAAGAATATTGTAAATGTAGGGCTGCTCGTGGAAGCAGAGGTCTCATGAACCCATTACATAATGTACATGCAAATTATACAATAGATTGTGAAAAACCATAATCTGACACGTATCGGAGGGATAATCAATAATTCAAACAATTAAAGTATGTGTAGTGACATCGGGGGTGTCACTGTGTGCTGCCGGCCTGAGAGGGCTGCCGGCCTGAGAGGGCCACGGCACGTGATGCACTGTCATCGCATACACCCCGTGGGCGGGTGTAGTACCAGCCCTGGAATAGCGCGGGCACCACGCATAGCGTGTGGTGCGGGCTCCCACAAGGGGGAGTGAGAGAGTGTCAGCCCAGGGGCAGGGTTGCCCCGGGCCATGGCACTCTGGTTGACCCCACAGACACGTGATCTGGAGTGTCCACAGAGAGGCCCCCAGGTGGGGGGGGGCTAGGGGGTGATCACGTGTCCAGGGAGAGCTCTCGAGAGGAATCGAGAGGGAGCTGGAAGGCTCTAGAAGGGGGCGGGGTCAAGGGCGGAGCGGCCCCGACCCGTGGGTGGATATAAGGTGGGTCCCTGAGAGGGACCGGGGTCGCTGCATTCTACAAGCTGGAAGCTCCACGTCTCAAGCTGGAAGCTCTACGTCCTGCGAGGCAAACACGTGGTCGCGGCGGACCCGAGTGAGAGGGTCCGATCCTTCGTAGCTGTAACTCCTCTGTGTAGTGTAGTTAGCTGGGTGGTCACCACCCTAGGCTGTATCTAGTAAAGGGGCAGTTACCCCTTTGTGTTACGTGTTACGAATAAAAGTGTTGCCTCTAAAAGGAACGTCTGCGACTCAGCTGGACCCACTACAGATGCATCATGACATGCCTATTAAAGAAACACTCATGGAGTTTTAAGCTTGCACATGATGAATGGGACCTTTACAGCTTTTCGCCAATCCACTGTTGAAGATCACCCTAAGCCGTGTCATTCACTGGGGTTGTTTGACCATACTTCACCATGCTGGTCTTTGCGGGTTAAATAAGGGGGGGGGGGGGGGAGGAGACCCGGGAACGGTTCACATATCACTCGCCACTGATGTGAGCTGTGGCCAGGAATCTAACCCAAGGGGACTCGGGTTTACAGCGCGGTGCGCCGATCACGGCACCACCGCACAATCTTACCGCGCTCAAAGTCCATCTCATCCAGGGTCTGGTGCACCCCGGTGGGAGCAGGTTCCAGATGACAGCAGGAAGCGTGGGGGCACCGGTGGCCAGACATGATAGTTCAACTCCACTGCCAGAAGGGGCCTAAAGGAGTGAACAAAAGTGCTCACGGTTATTCATCATCTGAAGGGGGCATGCTAAGCGTGCAAGCTTCCCGCAGTGGTTCTGCAACTCTTCGAATGCACTGTAACGTGCAGCAGGTTGTGTGCAACTTAAGTTTATTTTAGTTGTTTGTTTACCTGTTGTACATAACCGAGCCAATATAGTTAATAACGGGACACGTTTAAACGATTCGTACTTCGGAAGCTGGGTGGTCCCGCACAGGTAGCGCTTACCATGGCCAGCGTGGTGAAGTATGGTCAAATAAACCGCGCCCCACAAGGCATGGGGAGGCGAAATCCACCAGTGGGTTGATAAAAGGCCCTCTGTATGCACACTGTCCTGTATGACAGCAACATTACAAATATATATTGCGATCAGCGTTGCATGGGGCAGACACTCGGGGGGTGGCGCATTCCACGTCCCTATGACCGAGTCAGTCCATCCAGAGCAACGTCTTTTCGGAGTCTTTAACAGCGTCGTGCGGTGTTGTTGCATTACAACAACGCCTCTGTGAATATAATGCGTACGACGTGAGACCAAGGTAAAACAGCACAACAATTATGATGCAGTGCGCAAATTCATTAACGATCTCGAATTTTAAGAGACGGTGTGCGGTATATTACCCCTCGACACTCTATAAACTCCAGAGCTGTAAACCCATACGGCTTACACCCGGTATTCTTGTACAGGGATTAATTGAATTTCCAGGTGCATACTGCTGTGTACAGCCGTTTCCATGTGGGCAACAACAACACATGTTTATCCCTTGTGATGGGACTCTATAGGATGCACGTTTGCGATTTATATTGGGCACTGGGGTGACCAATAAGGTAGGCACGGATAAGGGATTGCGTTACACTACACTATACACTGCACGACTATACCACACCTGTCAACGCATACGGCTTACACCCCGTATTCTTGTACAGGGATTGAGTTTCCAGGTGCATACTGCTGCGTACGGCCGTTTCAATACGGGCAACAACATATTTATGTTTATTTGTGTTTCTCCCTTGTGATGGGCCTCTGTAGGATGAACGTGGAGCTCTATAAGGGGCACGGGGTGACCAGTGCGGTCTGAGTTGGTCTTTATAATGTAGGGGGGCACTGATCAGGGATTGTGTGACAGGCGTGGAACTTGAAACAAGGAGAGCTTCAGCACAGTACTCACGTTGGAACTTCGCAGACGCACTTTGTTCAACGATGAACCCCGTCTGTGTTAGTGTCTGTAAGTGTCTAAGTGTCTGTAAGTGTTAGTGCCTGTGTGTCTGTACGTGTCTAAGTGTCTGTAAGTGTAAGTGTCTGTAAGTGTCTAAGTGTCTGTAAGTGTTAGTGTCTGTAAGTGTTAGTGCCTGTGTGTCTGTAAGTGTCTAAGTGTATGTAAGTGTCTGTAAGTGTTAGTGCCTGTGTGTCTGTAAGTGTCTAAGTGTATGTAAGTGTCTGTAAGTGTTAGTGTCTGTAAGTGTTAGTGTCTGTAAGTGTTAGTGCCTGTGTGTCTGTAAGTGTCTAAGTGTATGTAAATGTCTGTAAGTGTTAGTGCCTGTGTCTGTAAGTGTCTGTTAGTGAGTGCCTGTGTTAGTGTCTGTGTGTCTGTAAGTGTCTAAGTGTATGTAAGTGTCTGTAAGTGTTAGTGTCTGTGTGTCTGTAAGTGTCTAAGTGTATGTAAGTGTCTGTAAGTGTTAGTGCCTGTGTGTCTGTAAGTGTCTAAGTGTATGTAAGTGTCTGTAAGTGTTAGTGCCTCTAAGTGTTAGTGCCTGTGTGTCTGTAAGTGTCTAAGTGTATGTAAGTGTCTGTGTCTGTTAGTGTTAGTATCTGTGTGTCTAAGTGTCTGTAAGTGTCTGTTAGTGTTAGTGCCTGTAAGTGTTAGTGTCTGTGTGTCTGTAAGTGTCTAAGTGTCTGTAAGTGTTAGTGTCTGTAAGTGTTAGTGTCTGTGTGTCTGTGTCTGTAAGTGTCTGTAAGTGTATGTAAATGTAAGTGTCTAAGTGTATGTAAGTGTCTGTAAGTGTATGTATGTAAATGTAAGTGTCTAAGTGTCTGTAAGTGTCTAAGTGTATGTGTTAGTGCCTGTGTGTCTAAGTGTCTGTCAGTGTCAATGAATTTGGGTTTCGTTGTTCGATCCGTAGGGGGTCACAACATTGGGGGTATAGCGACGAGACGAGTGGATCACGGAATCGATTCCTCTTCATCGATACTCAAACATTTATTTTCGATCCCCCCACCCCAAATAAAACAATCTTTCGTTGTTTGAATACAATCGGTATATTTTAGTCTGTTTGTTGTGAACGTTAAACGTTCAAGTTTGCTTTTATTTAATTTGTATCTATCGCTTATAACGTCGATTCCTTTTATTTAGACATAATATAGAATCAAATCCGTATCGGACGGCGCGCGACGAGGGCCACTGCACATTAACACGAAATCGCGTTTCACGTGGTGCCAAACTCGCACGCGTGGTGCACGCGACACGAAGCCCCCTTCAAGCCGAGAGGTGTCAGACTCGGGCCAGAGTAGGTGGCCCTCAACACTAGTCACTCTCAACAAATGTATTTAAATTTTAGCAGGTATGGCCCACTCCCAAATTACAACGGGCCTTTACGCGAAAGTTGCATTCAAATTGGACCCACTTGACGAGCGCAGCCGTGAACTAAAACGAAAATAAATTTTGATTGAAAGCTTTCGTGACTGCAGTAATTCATATTCTTAGTTTTTTCGGTAAAGTCACGTTGAAGGGAAACAACAAAATAATAAAATATATATAAAACAATAAAAAAATTCTCACGACGTTTCGACCATAACTCAAACCAACACACATGAAAACACACATGAAGACGACCGTTTGAGTTATGGTCGAAACGTCGTGAGAATTTTTTTATTGTTTTATATATATTTTATTATTTTGTTGTTTCCCTTCAACGTGACTTTACCGAAAAAAACTAAGAATATAAAACGAAAATACTTCATTTACCAGGTAAAAGCTCACCGAGGTGTGTGCAGCTCTTATTCAGATGCCACCTGGCCACAAATGATAGCTCAACGAAGTGGCTTATCGCGTGGAAATGTATAGCAGCCAAATAAGTACGACTCAACTTGTGTTTATAAATGTGGAGGTAAAAACCGGAGGACCCAAAGGGAAAGAAAAAAACACGACACCACGGGGAGAGACGTGCTAAATCCAAATGTACCGGTGTCAGGGTTTGGGACCGAACCCAGGCGAAGAAGTTAACATCTCTCCATTGCGGCAATCCACTATTACATGCTACCCCATGGAACGCTGATTCGTTACGGCACTTTGGTCTGGATGCATTTTTTTTTACGAAAACGTTCAATCAAAATATCTACAAAGGTCTTACGAGCGAGAGAACACGCAGCTGCACCGGCCGAGGAAACGTGCCCGACCCGTCATTCGCTCAGCCAATGCAAGATTACTTGGCAAAAGTCTGTCTCTCCACATTAAAATAAAGGAACGACCACTCCACATTAAAATAAAGGAACGACCAATATTTTTCCAGGGCCATCTTGTTTCAGCAAGACAATTCTTCACTGGTTTTGCCTTCCAATATTCCCACCAACAGTCAGATCGGTGATACAAATTCTGCTAATTTGCCAGATGGGTTATTCACTCGGCCACCAATCAACACCTATAAGCCCATTCAGTGCAAAATAGTTGTATTCTTTGCTGTGACCAAGTTTCTATAACCAGGTATCCTCCATCAAAACCGAGCATATATTGCCAAATGGGGTTTCCCCGTGCCAAAATCAAATGCAATTAAGCAAAATTGTCCAAATCTAATTTTCCACCGTCATGCACGACGACGATGATGGCGCTGGTGATGAATAACCTAAGGACAAATTTACGTCTGTCCACAGTCAATAAAAGTGCACGACACAGGCGACTTCTGAGAAACTTCACCGAGGCAGAATTTCACGTTTCAGGAGGTTGGCAAATCTGCGGCTATTTTGTGCGCTGGTTGGCGACGTTCTTTTATTACAGACCTCACCGTCTCGTATACAATCACATACATTCGCAGCTCTTGATAGTTTGAGAGTTTTTTTTTAACAAATAAACTGGATGCTTATTAATGTTTCGCTTGCCGGCCCCCTGCACGGAACGAAAGAGGAAGTGTGGCAGTCCATTTCGATAAAAAAAAGGCACGCCAAGTTTTCGTACGGTAAGTCGTGTTTTTTTTTTATCGTAAAATGTCTTGTTTAAAGATAATGACAACTATTCACTGTTTGGGGTTTTGTTGCATACACGTTGTCGAAAAGTATCTCTTTAAGTTTGCTCGTGGTGGAGGGGGGGGGTGTTTTGTGTGTTAAAAAGGGAAATTGTTCGTTTTGGCGCAATCAGGAACCGGCCTGAACTCAACAGCGCTAACAACACTCGCAACACTCGCTTTACATGATTGTCATTCCTCTGCAAGCTGCGTAATTTATTTAATATAGCATAACACTTACAGACACTAACACTTAGACACTTACAGACACTAACACTTACATACACTTACAGACACTAACACTTACAGACACTAACACTTAGACACTTACAGACACTAACACAGACGGGGTTCATCGGTGAACAAAGTGCGTCTGCGAAGTTCCAACGTGAGTACTGTGCTGAAGCTCTCCTTGTCTCAAGTTCCACGCCTGTCACACGACCCCTGATTAGTGCCCCCCTACATTATTACAGACCAACTCAGACCGCATTGGCCACCCCGTGCCCCTTATAAATCGCCACGTTCATCCTACAAAGTGCCATCACAAGGGAGAACACAAACAAATAAACAAAACCATTCTTCTTTGCCCGTATTGAAACGGTTGTGCGCCCTATGGACCTGGAAACTCAATGAATACGGGGTAAACCGTATGGGTTGAGAGCTATGCAAGATTGTTTGCCATCATCATCGAACGAATCATACACGTGCTGTTACAGTACTCACCAAACTTTTAAAAGGTAAATAGCCGGTGTTAGAATCAAGAAAGATTCAACGCAGTCGGTGGATTCTTAACATCGCAAGATCGTGATGTGGCAAAGGCGAGGCCTTCATCAAGCAGTTGATTGATAATGATTGATTAAATATCTGTGCCGATAAATCAGAAGCATTTCCTCGATGTACAGAGTAGCCCAGATATCTTGTGACCCCCATTTCATTATCTAGAACTGAATATTTTCTGGAAGGGAAAGACATGTTCGGCGTTATTGAATTGGGCTGTACCGATCAGTGGTGTTGCCAATACCCACACAAAAACTTTCCCTGATTATCACCTCTGCTGCTCTATGTTTTCGTTATCTTTCAAACCCCGTTTGTTATAACCCCATCGCTTTGGCCTGACCTCATGCTATCTACTTTCGTCTCCTCTCACTCCTCAACTCCGCTGTCCTCTTGTCTCTGTCTGCCACTGAGGCTTCACTGGTGAAGAGTTCAGACTCCACTTTGAATTGTCCTGGGACTCACCGATACAGCTATGTTGTTAGATTATTTTTAACTAAATGTACGTATATTCAACTTCTTTCGCACGGTACGTAGTAAACCGTGCTAATCGGAGGTGATGTGGAAGACAACAAACTAAACACAATAAGCAGCTCTAAAGAAATTAGTTTTTCAATCTAGGTTTAAAAGTGCTATAGCTGCAGTGGCTTACTAATATCGGAAGAACGTTCCAGACAGCCGCAGAAGTGCATCTCAAAGCGCGTGATGCATTTATGTAAATGTGTCGTTCATCCACCTCCACCCGACACATTCAATTAGTAAAGATTGTCACGTGAACAGAACGTGCCAATTTGTTACTGCAGTACTTCCAGCACACCGATGTGCTGGAAGGTAAATCAGTAAAATTAAGTGTGACGTTTCGCTGGTGATTAGAATTGCAGTTTTGTTTCTAAAATTAGTTTAAATTGTTATCTTCACAGATAACAAGTGCTGTATTAAAGAATACATTATATATGGTACGTATGTTGCAATATATACACATTCATCTGATGTGTTCTACCTATCGCTGCCTAGTTTTCTGTAATAAATTTTATGTTCTACACAGGATAGTCACCGATATCACCTGGCTTGTCTGAACAACCTGTTGAAATCAGCTGAAAATCTTCTCCCCGTTGCGTACACGAGGTAAATGGCCAAAACCCCATTTTCTCATTATAATATTCATTACAACAGCAAACATTCAGTGCGTTGACAGGAGTATGTTATAAATTGTTGCTTGTGTGTTGCATCAGGAATCAGAAGAAGGAAGCACTTGAACAGGTCTTGGCTTGGCACTACGTAGCTACAGATGTCCCTTGGCGTCAGCAGCATGCTGTTATGAAGAT